ACGTAGCATAAGTACATTAATAAATGTGTGAGTTCTGTAGAAAGTCTGAGCTGACTCTAACCACAAAATTTTGAGTAATTATTACTCAATGAGTAAACCTAATGAAGTGTAATTGGAGAGCAGCTGGGATGGCTACTTCACACTATAACAATATTCATAGAGACTCACCCTCTGTCCCTCCTGATACACTGATCACTGCTTGAGTCTCAGTGTTCAAATCAAGCGTCCTGTTGATTCCAATCAATACTGATTCATCACCTTCTGATACAGTATAGCTAGACTTGGCAAAGGTTAGAATACTTGCTGAAACTATAGGAATGTAATATTGGATGCATTTATAATTAGAATGTGTACAATATAATTACAATGTGTGTGTACACACACACTCTTATGGTCGCACTCTCATGGCTGCTGCTTACTTGATCTACTCCAGTTTGGCGTGTAAGAAAAGAGACAAGAATTCCCATCATCATTTGTATTGTATACAAGAGCCCCTGAACTGTTAATAACCACAAGGCCAGTGTAATTTGATAACTCGGTATCAATGGTGAGGGATACTGCACTATTGTTACTTGAAACTTTAATAGCATTTCTAGTGATACCAACCAATGGATCAATATTAGCATTACTATTACTGGCGTTGAAGTTGTGTAGTAGGAGTGTGATGTAAGTCTTTGTGGTACATGAGAATGATGTAAATCTTAACTCAGTAGTTTGGAAGGCTAATATTGGTGGTACTAATGACATTAGAGGATGGCTTCCATTAGTAATTAGACCAACCAGTAAGGCTGAGCTTGAGTCCAGCGTACAGAAGACACCAAAAGGACCAGAGGTATAGCGCAAGGACCCAGGAGGTATTGTGAACTGTTCAATGGAGCCGTTAGTGCATGAGAGGGTAATCAGTGCATCTTGGTTCTCTTCACTGTTTAGTATCACATGAGTCTGTGAGTCATTAGTTCCCAATGGTGATAGTATGAATTGGGTCCCCCAGTCGATGGTAGGTGGTATTTGCTCTGCAATGTAACTGCAGGTAGGCGAACCAAATGATGCACACTCATGTCCCGTTATAACTGTCAGTGGTTTCGTTGATATGATTTGTGTTAGCGTCAAATCAAGAGGTGATTGTATCAATAGCGTTTGATACTCATGCAGTACCCCAGTATAACTTGAGCCAGACTCAACAAGAGCCAGATCACTCTCACTTTGCAAGTCAGTGGATATGTTAATGCTCTGTGTTGGTTTTATGGTGACAGATGTCTCACTCTCCCTGCCAAGTAGTAATATTTGACTGTAGTACAAGGCACTGCTCACTGTCTCACTCCTACTGGCTCCTGGAGTGAGAGCATAGTAGACATAATTGCCTAATTGGTTGTGGCTGGTTTCTTCATGCATTTGATAGGCATCAGAACTATTACCATTTTGACTCAATACCACCACTGATATAGCAGCACTGGATTGAATTTTAACACCTTTATTACGCTGAGAGTAACTGCTATTGAGGACTGATATATCATAAGGTAGTACCAGCTCCATACTTTGATGATTGTCTAAGCTGAAGGATGAAATGGTTGTACTGATGTTCCTAATTGTGACTGAAGTGGCCCCATCACTTCCAGTTATGAGTAAAGTTGTGGTAGGTGAGTCTCCATTGTTCTTGAGCCCACCCACGTAATATTCTTGGACACCTGCATGGTTTCTTTATAATTTATGATAAGAAAATTTTCTTACCTAAACATATTTGGACTAAAAATAGCGTTAAAAATAGCTTCAGCATGATAATAAACAAACAGCAAATATACAAAATTCAGCAAGAAAGGGCGGGACAGCATAGCAATGAATACAATCACATGGCCCACACATAGACCCATGTGTAGGTAGTGACGGTAGTGTTAGCAAGCAGTGGTGCCTCCAGCCTCTCGGGCCTGCTGGTTGGAGGAGGGAAGTCACTGGGGCAGCCTAATTGCCCATCTCTGCTCTCACCGCATCGCCAGGATAGCTTGAGGGATTTACTGAACAGCAAAGGATCATTCTCAAAGAACTTGTAAGCTGACATTTGACCTTTTCCTTCTTTGACAGTGCAGCCTGAGTTATCAAGGTGGTACAAACCTCTGTCAAAATAGTAAGCAGAGAGAAAGAAGTCTTCAGTACCAGAGGAAAGGAACATTGTAGTGTTGGAGCCATCAATGATTACCCTCATGCAGGCTTCAAGGTAGTTAAAATCAGTGCTGTTTGCAGACAGGGTCACTTGAAACACAGCACCTGCAGTGGTATCAACCTCAGCAAGAGTTATGAAATCCAACGGTTTAAGAGATATGCCGACATTTTTATAGAGTTTGAGTTTCGTTGTTTTTGGTAGAAGAAGGTCTCCAAGGATAAGAGGATAGTTCTCAACCCCACGAATGATATACCAGAAGGTCCCACCATTGGGATGGGTTGCAGTAACTTTAAAAGAATTAGCAAAAGGTATCCGGTAGGTATTGTATATACCACCATCAGCAGCATGAGCTATTCTGTTAGTACCCCATGGGATGTTACCCACTTCAGTGGCTTCTGTGCCTCCAACCCCGTGAGCTAGTAACAGCATAAAATCAATGCTGGCTGTAGTCTCCCCATCAATGTATATCCTTATTCTAGCGTCCTCGTTCATTACACCTTTACCTATAACGACAGTTAGTAATAAACATCCTTCTCTGTGTTCAGTGTGTACCTGTGAACCATTGTTCTGTAATGACTCCTGCCTGGCCAGTGCTGTGTTCATACAGTGTCTTCTCAGTATTGGCAGCTAGGTGACCTCCTTTGATTGCAGAAGAGAAGGACTTCATATCAGGAGTAACTGGAACTGCAGAGAATACTCCTCCAACAAGAAGAAACAACATCAAGAGCTGAAACTCCATTTTGGGTGGGGCTGGCTTTTGGATTTTGTGGCATGATTATGCATGTGCATATGTGCATGTGCAACCATAATCACGTGAGATCATTACCATAGCAACAGCAATCAAATCTCATTTTGAAAAGGTAAACATGGCGTCTTTATTATTATTATTATTCTTGTATTCCCCTTTAGATACATATCATGGAAGAGAGGTACTCATTCATTACGGACTGGTATGATTCCTATGCTTCAATAAACCGCCAGTATCAGTTGGTGTTCTTTCCTTCAGACTCCACTTGTGAAATGATCGACATCAAACAAAAAAGACTCTTCCTGAGACGCTCTCCTTCTCCAGTCAAACTAGACGAGATATTTCTCGGGGCTGTCCTTAACATTCTCTCACGTCAACTCAAAGTGGTTGATTTTGCTGACGATTTCACTCGCTCTAGACTTGAAACTCGTAAACAGATCACGCTAGCACTGATCAAACCTGATTCAGCCATTGCTCATATTGGGGAGATTCTTAATGCTATCATATCTGAAGGATTGACTATAGCTAAGATGCGTATGCTTCGTCTAACACTTAAAGAAGCCGAGAGGTTCTACAGAATGTCTTCCAGTCAGATTCTCTTTAATGATGACATACAGTACATATCCAGTGGCCCACTAGTTGCTATAGAACTAGTAGGAGAGAATGCTATACAGCGTTGGGCTGATATTCTTGGTCCCAGCGACCCTGCTGAAGCAAGGCAGGTATCTCCATCATCTCTTCGAGCTCGTTTTGGTACTGACCAAACTCATAACGTGGGACATGGGTCGATTGGTTCAGAGGTCGCTGGTCGTGAGGTTGAGTTCTTCTTTAAAGAGGGTAGAGGGGAGATATTGGGCAGTCCTACTGCTGAAGGATGCACATTGTGTATAATTAAACCTGATGCTCTGAAAGCTGGCCTCTCTGCTAAAATAATACAAGACATACTATCGGAAGGTCTTGAGATTACAGGCCTGGGTCTTTATAACGTAGAGAAAGCGAATGCTGAGGAGTTCTACGAGGTATACAAAGGAGTCCTTCATGAGTATCCTGACATGGTGTCCTTGCTAACCTCAGGCCCCTCCATAGCAATAGCTCTATCAGGGAGGAATGCTCAGGCTCAGTTTAGACAACTCTGTGGGCCTCCTGATCCTGAGATTGCTAGACACTTACGACCGCACACTTTGAGAGCTAAATATGGTAAGAACAAACTGGAGAATGGAGTTCACTGTACTGACCTACCTGAAGACGGACCACTGGAGGTAGAGTATTTCTTTAAAATACTTGATAATGGAAACAATTAAAAGACTATTTACTTAATGTACATGTACATGGACACACATCACGTGTAAGTTTATAAATAATGATTACTTTACTAAAGACATCATGCTACACTTTCAGTTCCTGTTCTTCATTCACTTAACATTAAGAGTATATTTCTTATTGTAAGAAATACACTAAACAATGATTAATAATAATTATCATTATTAAAAAGGAACGTACATTATTGTATATTATAAATGCACAGCACTGTAATGTGTATGTACATGCATTATCAAGCAGTTATTATTATTATTTATAAAAGTCAAAAACCATTAACATGGTACTGTACATTGGGTTCCATTATAACAATAATGAGGATCTGAAACAGAAGGAGACACAGCAACTTGAAAGAAGTAGAGATTAGCCACAATACAGAGTAGGACAGTCATGATGGCATTAAAGTAGCTCATCCAACGAAATTTAGGCTCCAATTCACCTCTTCTATACCATATCACCTAGCAATGGATGAATGTAACTGACAGTTCAACTTGAAGTGTTGTTATGTGTCAAATGCTCATTCAAATGTGAGGTCACAATGTTTTCATGCAACCATTATATTAGTGTACAGTGTGTGTCCCTACCACTAGGACTTGAGGTATTAATAGTAATAGTATCACAGCAGCAAACACAATGTCCATTGGATAGACACAGAATGTATCCTTCTGGTGTATTAAACCACATTTGTTCTTCTTGATCCTTCCGCTGACAATAGATAGTATAACAGTTATCTATAAAGAGGGACAGGTAGTATCACGTAATAAAGGAGATACTAAGCTTACAGTAACCATAACTGCCGTAACCCCAGCTATCACAATATTAATAATCTTATCCTGTGGGAAATGAGTTCATTAAACATTGTACAGACTCCATACTCACTCTTTTCCTCGTTTCACCAAACAACGGCTGCTGGGAGAAGTTATCCTTCTCACTACTCCCGTACTTGGTGGCCAGCGCCATTTTGCACTTGTGGGTGTGGTCAGTAAATAAAGAGGTGTGTTTTTATCCAAAAATCACACCCATAAATTCAAAATGGCGGCTTTTAGGCTACCACAGAAATGTCTCCCATTTCTTTTCACTAGGTCTCAAGGTCCTTTGGTGAGTGTAGTGCAACCTTTATTAACCTCTTTATTTCTTATTCAGCAGCTCCAGGCTCGCTCTCTCAATCTACACGAGTACCAGAGCAAAGACCTCATGTTGAACTACGGTGTTACGATTCAAAAATTCCAAACAGCAGACACTCCTGAAAGGGCTGGGGCTGCCGCTAAGGAACTAGGTTTGTTTTAATATTTATTAATAGGTGTGGCTTATAAATACATGTACATGTACGTTTGTAGGTGTGCCCGAAGTTGTATTGAAAGCTCAGATACTAGCGGGAGGGCGGGGCAAGGGGCGGTTTTCCAGTGGACTTGTGGGCGGAGTCAAAGTAACGAGAGACCTTGAGTCAATAGAAGGTCTGGCAAGGGACATGATTAACCACAGACTCGTCACTAAACAAACTAACAGCAATGGCGTGGAGGTCAAGAAAGTATGTCGTCATCATTTTGTTGATTTTTGTTCTGTCGTATCACAAAATTCTCTAATTTCATTCCCAATTGGCATAACAATGAAAATGTTTAATGTTGGATTTGTGAAAATTTAAGCTACAGCACATGAACCTGGAGATGTACTGATGTATCAATGAACTGGTACTAGTCTTTTAATTGTAGCAATATTGTCTATTAATAATGCATCCATTAATGATCTCACTCATGTGTCAATTATTATTTTAAAAAGATATTTCCCTAATTACTGCATTTCTCTAATTGCTGCTCGTCCTAAAAAGATATTAGCTTATAATCACTGGCATATGCTCTGAGCCTTTACATGTGTGTTACCATGGTAACCTTAGCAGGAGACTCCATGGTGCAGTGGCTAATAAGATTATCTAGTATTTTATGTTCTGGCTTGGCTACTCATTTCTTGTGGCCTTTATAAAGAGTACAGGAAGACTTTAAGATGGTTGTCTCTCTCTCTCACTCTCACCTGACAGTATTTCAATGGCCTCTCTCACTAGAGGGCCATCTGCTCTTGAAGCCATGTTGAGTGTCACGGCATGTCGTATTGATGCCACCTGGTCCTTTAGTTTTAACATCTTAGTAATCTAATATCATTGAATTGTAATAATGTAATATCTAACTGATGTGAACTTTATACCTGATGGACACTTAAAAACCTTTCATCTTTTTTCACTTCTCGCCCCCTCTCTCTCTCCCTCTCTCTCTTTCTGCTCTCCCTCTCTCTCTCCCTCTTTCTGCTCCCTCTCTCTCTCTCCCTCTTTCTGCCCTTTCTCCCTTTCTCTCCCCTCCCTCCCTCCCTCCCTCTCTCCCTCTCTCTCTCTTCAGGTGATGGTAGCTGAAGCACTGGACATAGCAAGAGAGACCTACCTGGCCATACTAATGGATCCAGCAACTCAGGGACCAGTTCTTGTGGGGAGTCCTGATGGGGGGGTGGATATTGAAGAAATTGCTGAGAAGAATCCTGAAAGAATATTTAAAGTGAGACACTTTCAACTAGTGAATGTAATCTTTTATTGTGTTGCATTCTTTCTATCAGATTCCTGTTGATATTATGAAAGGTATTACAATGGATCAAGCTCTTTTAATGGCAAAGAATCTTGAGTTTAAGGACGGGCTCAGAGACACAGCTGCTACTCAAATAATGAAACTCTATGACCTGTTCTGTGGTGTGGATGCTACTCAAGTTGAGATTAATCCTTTTGGAGAAACCCCAGATGGACGAGGTACCTCAGTTACACCATTGGGCCCACAGTACCTGTCCTTAATACATGTACAGTGTAGCCTCTTTATTAAGGACACCATTGGGCCCACACTACCTGTCCTTAATACATGTACAGTGTAGCCTCTTTATTAAGGACACCATTGGGCCCACACTACCTGTCCTTAATACAGAGGTGTCCTCATTATAAAGGTCCCATTCCTGGTCTCCTTAGTTCGTTCCATGAATGAGTGATTATAAAGTAATTATAGTACTGGACCACAGCTGCTACAACAGTTAATTATATTTATTTTATTATTATTATTATACATGTACATGTACATATCTACGCTAGCAGCTGCACTTTTGTGTATTTCTGGTTAGTAATAATTGATGAATGAGCCTGTGGGTTAGTATTCTCACTCAGAAGTCTCTTGCTGTGTCTGTATGTTTAATTAACTTTTATTTGTTCTATTATTGCATTAAGCACCTCTTATGAGATCAGAGAGAGAGAGAGAGAGACGGAGGGAGAGAGAGAATGCCTTACTCGATGACTCAATGTGGTGGGTTTGGTTCTATCATGTAACTGTCTTTTCTTGCTAAATATTGTCACTTTTACACTATCAAGCTCTGATTGCAATAAAATGTTTATTATTATTATTATTATTATTATTATTATATTTATTTATTCCAGTCGTCTGTTTTGATGCTAAAGTCAATTTTGACGACACCGCTAAGTATCGGCAGAAAGAAATATTTTCCCGCGAGGACACAAGTGAAAAGGATGAGAGAGAAGTAGAGGCCACTCTACACAACCTCAACTACATTGGAATGAATGGGAACATTGGCTGCTTAGGTAATTAATGATTGGGTGTGGTTAATATTTATTAATTGATGGGTGTGGTTTAGTTAATGGAGCTGGGTTGGCTATGGCCACCATGGACATTATAAAGCTTCATAAAGGGGAACCAGCAAACTTCCTTGACGTGGGAGGGGCAGTCAATGAATCTCAAGTACTTTCGGCTTTTAAATTATTGACAGCTGATCCTCAGGTAACAACAACATAATGTCTAACAATGTAATGTACCAATGTTGAGTGCATAGTTTAAGCCATCGACTACAGCCCATGGTTTTTCCCAAAAAATGGCCCCTAAATCATCCCAAATTTTGATTACATTTTCCGATACATATTGATGTCCTTATGCTGTGTAGAAAGTTTGAACTGATTCTGACTTCAATTTTTCGAGTTACAGCCATTTTTAAAAAATTCCAAAATTTTGAAAAATACCCAAGGCTATAGTCCATGGTTTTTTCTAAAAAATGGCTCCGAAATCACCCCAAATTTTTATTACATTTTCTGATACATATTGATGTCCTTATGCTGTGTAGCAAGTTTGAACTGATTCCGACTTCAATTTTTCGAGTTACGGCCATTTTTAAAAAATGCCAAAAATTTTGAAAAATACCCAAGGCTATAGTCCATGGTTTTTCCCAAAAAATGGCTCCGAAATCACCCCAAATTTTTATTACATTTTCTGATACATATTGATGTCCTTATGCTGTGTAGCAAGTTTAAACTGATTCCGACTTCAATTTTTCGAGTTACAGCCATTTTTAAAAAATGCCAAAATTTTGAAAAATACCCAAGGCTATAGTCCATGGTTTTTCCCAAAAAATGGCTCCGAAATCACCCCAAATTTTTATTACATTTTCTGATACATATTGATGTCCTTATGCTGTGTACAATGTAGCAAGTTTGAACTGATTCCGACTTCAATTTTTCGAGTTACGGCCATTTTTTTAAATGCCAAAATTTAAAAAAATACCCAGGGCTATAGGCCCAATATGACCTCAATTTTTAATTACATTTTCTGATCAAAGTTGTGTTTAATGACTATATTGTTAGGTGAGAGCAATACTAGTCAATGTGTTTGGTGGTATAGTGAGTTGTGCCACAATAGCTAGTGGTATAATTGCTGCATGTAAAGAAATGGAACTACATATACCTCTCATTGTGAGGCTGGAAGGTTAGCGTCATTTATTTATTTATTTGTTTGTTTATTAATTTTTAGGTTCTAATGTAGATAAAGCTCGTTCATTACTCGAAGACAGTGATCTGCCAATTATTCCTGCTAAAGATTTGAGCGACGCTGCAGCAAAAGCCGTAGCAAGTTTAACTTAAAAATAATAAAGAGAATGAAATCACAATTCAAATTATTAATAGTGTTTAATAGTAGCAAATTAATAATAATAATAATAATAATAATAATAATAATAATAATAATAATTAGTGTTATCCTTCAGTTGTTATTGGATTCACTGCCGATACCTTTCCTTCACAATCTCTGGACATTAATTTTTGTCTCCTTAAAATTACGACCATCACAACTGCCATTAGTGCAACAATACTAATGATGAACAGTACAGCAGTAATCACTGATAGTACAATAAAGTACAGTAACTGTTGATCAGGAGGCCTTTGTGCTGCTCCTTCAGTTAGTATGAGAAGAGAAGAGGAAGGTAATGACCCAGTGGAAGATACAGGAGAAGTAGTTACCGAAGTGATAGGAGATACATGAGATGAATAATAACCAGATGAAGAGAACTGAAATGAAGAAGACTTGTACTGAGAATTAGTTGATTGTATTGCTGATATTGATGACAGTGTAGGTGCTATCACACTTTTCACTGATGGGATTTCAATCTCAAACCTCAAGACACTCGGAGAAGCAATAAAAGATCCTTTACTGTCTGTAGTTAGAGCTACTGTAACATTATACCTATCACCTTCAATTGGACTTTGAAGAGCATTAATGATCGTTTGAATGTTAAATTTAACTTGAAGGATAGAAGAAGTATTAGACTGATTAACTACTGGATAGATCTGGTAATAAATTCTGCCTAAAAATTAGAGTCAAATCTATTGTCTTTAGTTCAACAACTTACCATTACTCATTTCTTGTACAGTGACATTAAGAGCTAGTCCAATCGTTAGTTTAAACAGTTCATCATGATCCCCTCCTATACTTACCTGCAGATACTGCCAATCTTCCTCTTCTTTCTGTTCAATTTCATTTACAAAATGCACCTTTGGACCTAGTATTAAATATAAAGGATTATTTTATACTTGAAAGTTTTTAAGAATATTTAACCTGTTGCATGAAGTTGTTTAAATTGCACTGAAGCAGTATATCCATAACCTCTCTCAGGGTCGCACTGGTACCCATAAAGGAATACAGTACCAGAGCCTCTTGTAAATGATACGCTATGGAGCCCAGAGGATCCTTCAAAATGATAGCTATAGCCAGAGATAGTTCCAGTCAAACTATGTATTGGTATCCATTTTGTTTCTAGTAAAGGTACCCCATCATACAGTACAAGGGAAGGATTTGTTGTTAATATTCCAATAAAGTTCTTTGAGAATTGATCTGTTGAGTGAATTCTAAAACTAAAATGTTCTACGTATTGTTCAGTTGGTTGGACTGTAACCAAGAATGGATCACCTGATGTACACTCTTCAATGCCAGAGCTAGTAGCTATTTGAACGACTAGTATTGGTACATTTGATGCCAAGTAGCAAGAGGTAGTTGAGTTCACATGGATCATTGCATAGTCTCCAGCATAAGGAAGGTATATACGCCCAGCTTCATTACAATTGTGACTTATAACAGATCCGTTTCTAGATGTCACTATCTTATAATACTGACCATTCTCTTTACCCAGAAAAGGTGATAGGAAAAACTCCTTTCCCCACGTCATTGCAGGAGGTATTTGCTGCACAAAATGATCACAGTATTTCCTATCTGTGGGTATATTGGCACACTCATGACCACTAATGACTGTCAGGGGACCTGATGATGCAATATGACTACCAGTGATGTCACTGTTTGGTGCCCCAATGTAAAGAGAATCGCCAGAATCAAGTACCAAATCATGCGATCCACCCTCCTCTACCCAGACGTATACATCAGATCCCAATTCCTCTGGTAAACTCATTCCCACTGCTGGTGTTATGGTGATGCTGGTATTGGAACGACAGCTGATGATGAGGGCCTCGCTCCACAACTGATGGTGTTCATGCAATGGAGTTTGTACTGACACCAAGTAATACTCATACTTGATAGGTACTGGGTATGAATCAACACAGGGTAGACCCATGTACTCGCCTACACTTCCATTTTGCCAGTTATATGCAAGAACAGAAATATACTGACTAGAATTGACAGTTGATATCTTGATACTCTGACGATAACCTGAGTTGGAGCTCGTCATTAAACTTAGAGGGAGATCTTTCACCTCAAAATAAGACTCACAGCTGAAAACTTCACTAATACTAGTGACACTAGGCTCATAGTAGAGTATGGTAATATTAACTAGTCCGTGGGTACAGTTAGATGTGATATAGAAACCTAACTTAGTGTCGCTGAGTCCTCTGTAGTTCCTTAGGAAACCCAACTGGAAATTAGTACCAAAATTAGTGGGGGCAGTACCTGCAGCAAATACAAATATATAATTTATTTTATAGCATAAAGATGGTATCATACTTGCTGATCCTGCAACAATTAGGAATGAATAAAGCAGAAAAACTACTAGCAACATTGTAACAGCAGTTTGAAGAGAGCAGGAGAGAGTCACTCTGTGTGTGTGTGGTGAGTACTAGCCAGTGTGTCTGGAGCGAGTCAGGCTGGTGGTGCCTTTGTTATGTCTTGAGGTGAGATGCCCCATGGCCAAGGCCCAAGAATCCTTAGAAATAAAAAAATATAGAAACTGGCAGGAAATTAGTAAACAGGAAGTGAATGAAACCGGATGTGACGAAACAGGAAGTGATAGTAAACAACGGTGACGTCATAAATAAAATGGAGCCCAGAGCTGCAGTTGTGCCTTCAGCTCCTCCTGAAGCTTTGAAACCATCAGGAGCCTTGAGCCTAACGCCAGAGAAGAGAAGGAAACCATTCACTGAACATAACCACTCGGGACAGTCTGAGCTCAACCCAACAAGATATAAAAAAGCAACACAAGTCAGTATATATAATATTTATACCATCCATTTATTATTATGCATTTATTCCTGGACCTGCACTGCAGGTGTTAAATATACCACATCATGTTAAAAGATACAAAGAATTGCAACAGGTAGAACTGTCTGAAACTAGTTTTGAAGAACTAGTGACAGTAGGTTCTAAGTCAAAACACAAGAAAACAACAACTGACAAAACACCAGAGCCATCATTATACTCCAGGTATATATATAATATTTATTCAACTATTAATTGATATTATTATGAACTCCACCCACTAGTAAGGATGATGAAGTTATAAGAGAAGAACCTTGTTTGGATTTTGAAACACCTGAGAGAGCACAGCCGCTAATGAAACCATCAGTTTTATACTTTAATGCAACATAACAGCACAATAATACCAATTAATAATAATCAATTAATTATCATCTGAATAACTGCCCAAAGATGTTAAAGGTCCTTGTGTTTTTCTTCTCACTTCAAATACCTACAGAGAATTATAAAATGAAGTAGGTGTCCATTGTCTCACTTGTTGGATCGATTCTCTGAAGCAATGAAAGTTATACTCGATCAGTCCCTGCCTCTCAAATACTTCTTCTCTTATTAAACAAACCAGCGCCAGGAACCTTCAATAAATAATAAACATGATAATAAACATGATGATGATGATGATAAAAGCAGTACCTGTTCACTTCTCTCAGATACAGTATGACTCCATTACTTAGTTTAATGATTGAGGCACTTTGTTGATCATAGGCACAAGCCTCCACATCATCCCTAGTAATTAACCATTCATTAATTAGCCATTATTAATTAACAGTTCATTAATTAACCATTCATTAATTGCCCATTATTAATTAATTACCTACCCATATATACAAGATACATCAATGACTACATCAATCATATCACAGCACAACTCATAAGACAACATGTCCACAGGTGAGCTAGAAGATGGTAATGGAGTATCATACTCATCAGTTAGTTACCTGTCAGTTGCTATGTAGATCTTACTCACTACATCAAATAGGAATGCTTTTTCAAGACCACAGTTCTAAAAAACAAGCAAATAAATTATTATAATTATTTTTATTCTTACTGATACTAGTATGTTTAGAAGGTTCTCCAGTGTTGGTAATTGGGGGATTAGTTTCTGTACAACGCGACTGAAAGCCTGTAAATAATGCTGACTGGGTGTGGTGGTAGGTGTGGTTTACTTCAAATATTGAGTGATCGTATATGGAGGTGAGATAAAAGGACGGTCTGAGTAGTCCGTCTAAACCAGCATCAGCTAAATCACACGTAGCCTTTGTCTGAATGTCTCTCTGAGCCTCTACAGAACAAACAAGGTATGAGAAACATGGGAAGAACTTTAAGCAAAGTGACCCGATTTTGGAGAAACTTTTAAAAATCGTAGAGAAAATTCAAATTTGATTGGAATCAGTTCAAACTTTCTACACAACATCAGACCATGTATATGTATCAGAAAATGTCCAGCATCATCTCATGACAGTAACAATCAATTCTACTCTCACCCCATTTCCTGTCATCTGAAAGCCCATCCACTTTATGTATAAACACTTCAAACTTTATATTCTGGTTTACCTACAAACATTATGATATATTCTTCCTTTTCTCTCCCTCACTTGAAAAGCCTTTGTTAATGTCTGGTGGAGTCTGATCAAGGCCTGTCTGTAATCATCCTGAGCATCAATGACAAATATCAATGAGCCACAGCTACCGAATATCTGTTCTGAATCAAACGTTGGATCAAAGAAATCAATCTGTCCAGGGAAATCCCACACCTAGAGCCAGAGGGTATGGCGTAGGTTAGGAACTATATAAAGTACTAACTTGAAACTGAACAAACGAACTGTTGTTGATATCTAAATAATTGCAAAATAATAATAAATTATAATAGGGCCATACCGTCCTTGACAACTTTGCTTGTGCTCTCAAGAAAGAGTGTCTCGTTTGGTGACAGTTTGTGAAAGACGACCTTTTGAATCGAAGACTTTCCACTTCTAAGAAAAAGAAATGTACATGTACATGTAACTACGTGTTCACACCTCCTTAGGCCCATTAATAGTATCCTTGGTTTGTTTTCAACACCACCCACGGCTCCAATAACCTCATCTTCATCTCCATAGCTGGAAGAGAGTGAGAGGGTGATAGTTTATATTGGAATATAAATTTAGTGTTTACTTGTATCCTTCAGGAAATGAGTCCACCTCATGATAGCTGCCACTTGGGTCACCATTCAGTGACATCTATAAAATGAAAGGTCCACATAATAAGAGTCATAACACCCTTCATCTTCCATTACTGTTACTATTGAACGAAGTTCTTGTTCTCTTGCACTTAACTTTGATCCCATCCAATGGTCAGATGACCCATAGACATTTTGCGCATGCGCAGTAGGTAAACTCATTGATATTCATAGTGGTGTCCATGGTAACAGCGTCTCTGCCAAACAAAAGTTAGAGAGAAGAGCAGCCAGTTGGCTTCATTTATTTATTTATTTTATTTATTTTTGGTTGTGCTTCTTCTGCTATTAAAAGTGAGTTGTATTCACTATATATTGAGCTTCATTCCTCCATTCTTTGCTAGAGGCATGGCTGCATTTTTAAGGAATCCCAAAGTCCTTGGAGCTGCAGCTCTTGGTGCAGGAACACTGTTAGTTACTAGTCACTTCATGAGAGGGGAGGCTGGATCTGCTGCTGGTAAGATGTATTTGCAATATTTAGTTTTATATTTTGCTTTGCATTATGATTTGATGCAGGCAAGTCTGGTGATGTGTCAAGTATGCATTCAAATGTGTCATTAATTCATTTCTCTTATCTCCAGGGGCTTACAAACTCTTTCCTGCAAGTGCTGATTATCCTGATCTCTCCAAACACAACAACGTCATGGCCAGCAACCTCACACCACAGGTATATAGTACTGCACTGAGTACATTGTGTTGGCCAGATTGCCAGAATAACACATGATGCACTGATCATGCACTCCTTTAGATTTATGCTCGCTTGCGTGACTTGAAGACACCTAGTGGCTACACACTAGATCAGTGTATTCAAACTGGTGTTGATAATCCTGGACATCCTTTCATTAAAACTGTTGGCATGGTTGCAGGAGATGAGGAGTCCTACCAGGTTTGTATTTGCCGTATACCTCAGTAATAGCATAATGTACTTAATGTCATCTTATGCACACCTATTGTTATCATTATGCTCATTCTGCAGGTTTTTGCTGATCTCTTTGACCCTGTCATTGATGAGCGTCATGGCGGCTATTCAAAGAATGCCACTCACCCAACAGATCTGGATTCTTCAAAAGTAACACCAATGGTTTAAACAAATTATCATCAATTAATATAATGACAGATCAGGGGAGGTATGTTTGATGAAAAGTACGTACTTTCGTCTCGTGTCCGTACTGGCCGTAGCATTCGTGGGCTCAGCCTGCCACCAGCATGCACTAGGGCTGAGAGGAGAGAAGTTGAAAAGGTAAAAATATTATGTTTGTTATTCATGAAGTATTTTATTAATCATCAATAGATTGTGACTAATGCTCTAGCTAATCTTGGAGGAGAGTTTACTGGAAAATATTATCCACTTTCTAAAATGACAGAAGCAGAACAAGACCAACTGATCAATGTAAAAAAAAGCAATAGCTATCATTTACTGATTAGTGTCACTGTATGTGTAGGATCACTTCTTGTTTGATAAACCAGTGTCTCCTTTACTCCTTGCTTCTGGTATGGCAAGAGACTGGCCAGATGCCAGAGGAATATGGTAATGCTGGACTCAATGCATCCAATGAACTGTATATCATGTTTATACTGTCTATAGGCACAATGATAAGAAGAACTTTCTAGTGTGGATTAATGAGGAGGATCACACTCGCGTCATCTCTATGGAAAAAGGTGGAAACATGAGACGTGTTTTTGACAGGTTCTGCACTGGATTAAAGAAAGTTGAGGACGTCATAAAGAAAGACAACAGGGAGTTCATGTGGAACTCACATTTGGGATACATACTGACCTGCCCATCCAACCTTGGTACAGGACTGAGAGCTGGTGTCCACATTAAAATACCTAAACTATCCAAAGTAAGTTATAGGACAGAGTACAAGTGTATAGAATCATTGCTTACTTTCACTTGCAGCACTCAATGTTTAGCGAGATACTTGAGAGAATGAGGCTACAGAAGAGAGGGACTGGAGGTGTGGACACTAAAGCTGAAGGAGGTACTTTTGATATTTCTAACTCAGACCGTCTTGGATTCTCTGAGGTAAGCCTTTTGCTGTACAATGAATGATACACTGTATGTGAACACATTACATTTAATAGGTGCAGCTGGTACAAACACTTATTGATGGAGTGGAGCTACTCATTGAAATGGAGAAACTCCTGGAGAGAGGGAACTCCATTGACCATCTTATACCAAAGAAGAAGTGAAGACTATAAACAAACAAAACTATAAACAAACAATACTATTATAAACATTGTTTATGCATTGTCAGTTGTTGTTGATTGAGCTAACACCCACGCATAATCTCACACCTTTAAGCTAACACCCACGCTTTTCATTGATACAAAATGGAGGGCGAGGAAGAAATAGTAATGTTTGAATTGGCAGGACTACCCAATCCTGATCTAGTTAAGGACAAGTCCTGCTTCATATTGGCAAGCATATTACTGGTTGATTATTTGAATGTCCATTATCAATCTCTGGGGGGGCCAGGGTTTAGAAACAGGTCAACCTTTAGTGCAGGTTGGGAGTTTAGTCTTTCAAGGAAAATATGAAGATGTGTTTGGAACTGGTTTAATATTTGAGAAATCACCAGGTAGGAATAATTATAATAATTGTACAGAAGATAATCCTTAATCAAACTATGCAGATGGATCAGTCAATTTGATTGGTAAATGTACAAAGAAAGCAATAATGAAAAGCATTCCAATGAAACACAACAACAAGGACAATGATTGATAATCAATTAAGTAATCAGTTGCAATATAATGAATAACTAATGATTAATGATCAAGAAACAGTTTAATGGTCATTCTTGTTTAATTATGCCAGCTCCAACTCTGAACTCTCTCAATCCCCTCTTACCAAGAGCTGATAATGACTTCCTTAAAGATCTCAATATCACATCTTTGTTCTTACTGTCAGTACTAGAGGATGACAATATTATATAATTCCACTCAATTTTAGGCACAATGCATGTGTAAGCTGTCATGCTTCATACTTTGACATTACTCTTGCTGATGCCACTAATATATTAGCTTTGTCCAAATAACTCTAGAAATAATAATAATAATAATAATAATAATAATAATCATCAAATTGATACCTTCAATATTTTAGATTTCATTCTTTTAAAGTCAACCTCAGGTCCAACCTTAACCCCTGCATACTCATCGACCTCAGACTCCTCCTCCTCCTCAGACTCCACCCCCACAGGCTCTACTGCTGCAGACTCCTCCCCTTCAGTCTGTATTCCTATCTCATTGGTAACTGTAGCTCCTCCTGGAGCTGTTCTTATATTCTCCTCCTCCTCTCCTGGAGGGCACAGTGATACATTCTCTGATATATTAATGTTATTCTCTGATGAATTCTCATCCTTAACAGGAGGGGCCAGTGTTACCATGGTAACTGGTGTCTCGTCCATAAGAGGGGTACCAGACCTCGACCTCCTTCCCCCAGTCCCCCCTGAACCCCCACCTCCTCCTGAACCCCCACCTCCTCCTGAATCCCCGCCTCCCCCTGAGATCCCAGTCCCCCCTGTACTCACAGCTGCTCCCCCAGTGGGTAGTTCTTTGCTGCCATTAGTCCCTCCTCCTGTTAGTAATTGTCTATAGTCTGGTGGTAGGTATATTGGGACCATTAGAGGAACAGGGGAGCCATTAGACGAGGGAGGGAGAGAGAGGGGAAAGGGAGGGATTAGGGGGAACAAAGAACCTCCCCCTCCCCCTAGAGATGGAGCTCCTCCCCCTAGCAACGGAGCCCCTCCCAATGAAGTAGATGTACCAGTGAAACCAGATTGAAGGAACTGGATTGGGTTTGGTATAGGAGAGTTAGTGCTGTTGGGTGTGGCCAAATTTGATACTTTAGTGGGTGTGGTCACAGTAGCAGTAGTGGCTGAAGTGGTAGGTGTGGTCACGGTAGCTGTGGTAGTAGTCGGTCTGGCCAAAGAAGTCGTTGGACTAGCTTTAGTGGGTGTCTCCTTCTGCTTGTGTCGTTTCCTCTTCTCCTCCACAGGTGATGGTTCCTTTCCTCTTGTTGTCTCGTGTCTTCTCTTCACTGAGGTACTGCTGCTGCTGTTGCTGCTCTTATAAGGTTTCTTCTCTTTCGATACAAAACGCTCCTTCTCTCTTCTTCTTGAGCTACTGCTGCTGCTAGTTGAGTATTTGTCACTTCTCTCATGATGGCGTCCCTTCTTTCTCCTTTCCCTTGACCCAGGGTCACTAGAATCACTAGATGAACTGTCAGCTGAAAGGTTTCTTGCTCGTTTTGAGGCTTTACTTCTGTCAACTGATGAATCCAGCGACGAGTCCCGTGAGGTTGTGGTTGAGTATACTTTATCACGTGATTTACGCCTTGAATCATCAAGAGATGAATCTCTGGAATAATGTGAGGTTCTGTTTGAATCAATTGATCTGTCTCTTAAATGGGACACTCTGTGTCTTGATGAATGATCAACTGATGAATCCCGAGATGATATTGAATCAGCTCTTGATTTCTCATAGCCTCTCCTTCCTCTTTTAGACTCAAGAGTCTGATACAGACTCTTCCACTTCTTACTCTCTTCCTCTTTGTGTGTCCTCCTTTTCTCTTTCCTTTCCTTCTCTGTTTCCTTTTCTTTGACGTTGGAACCACTAGATGAACTTCCTTGGATTCTCTGCAATAAGAACCCAACTCCAGATTGGTGAATGTGCCTACGATCTTCTGATAACTCATTATCGTCATCATCAGACTCATCTCCGCTGCTGCTTTTCTCTTGTTTCATGTTTCTAGCTCCTCTAGAGGCAAGCATGTTCTTCACCGAGTAATAATCATCAGTTCTGCTGCTCCCAGTAGGCCTCTCACTGTGAACAGGTTCCTCTCTACTGATGTCTCTAGAGGTAGAGGCCGTGATGACTGTTCTACCTCCAGAGCTAGTACTAGCTTGCACTGCCTCAGTCTCTTCGCTGGTCTCCCTCTCGGTAAAGAACACGCAATGGCCTTCTTCCTGTTCCTCCTCCAGCAGGCCGTGCTCCCACATCCACTTCTCCTGCTCTTTCTCAACTGAGACTGTTTTCTTCTTCTTTTTAGTTGAAGTTGTTGAATTTGCTTTTTCAAGAAGATTGGCTAGCATTGAGTGAGTGATGTATGTCACTGGTAGCTGAGACTCAAAGAATGAGCAGGAGAGCATAGCAGAGAACAAACAACGACCATGATACCTGAAACAAAATAAATAATAGAAATAATAACAGCAACAATAAATAATAAATAATAACAACAACAGTAATAATAAAGAAACATGTACGTTGACATACTAACAACTTGTCACAAATTTTTGTGGCAAGATCATCTGATAAGAGGATAGTTTTACAACAAATCTGATTGGTCAATTCAAACTCCACATGGCAGAATGTACAACCAATACATTTTCATTAAACTCAGTCCGTCCCCCTACCAGTATGTATATATGATACACAGTTACCTTTGCTTGACTCTGTTAGCATGGCCACAGTCAGTAAACTTTAGTACAATATAATACTCAACTTCAGATTCACCAGTCTTCCTCGTAACTGTCAGTATCTTACACTCTCCATATGTGTCCTTTATATAGTCACTGCTCAATTAAAATACATCAAAATACAAAATTATGAGAAAACTCTCAAATCACAAGCAGCTTATAATATATTACCATATTTGGTTTGGAAAGTTGCAGGAATCATCACTCAGAAAGAGCTCACACTTCACAATAATACTGTCCTTTCTAACTGGCATAATGTACTGTACTTTTAGACTTGTCTTGTGCCAAAGAGCCAGTTATGAAAGGGTTAAAATAGGTTTTGTCAAGGGGTTAAAATAGAAATCCAAGATGGCGGATCTTAAGGAGCTAGATGAAGTGTGTCATAAACTTGTAGAGAATGACACAAAATTTGCTCCAACTTATGACAGGATTGTATTAAAAGTAAATATTATTAAATTTTACAATTATTGTTATTATTATTATTGTAAAGTAATAAATGTGCTGAAATTATTATAATTATTTTTTGACAAAAACCATTTTTATTTCTTCTATTTTAATGAGCTAAAAAGCAACTTTTTAAAATCAATTTTGATTGGAATCAGTTCAAGACCATGTATATGCATAAGAAAATGTAATAAAAATGGAGATTTCTCTACTTTTTATTTTTGTCAAAATTGGGCAAAAGTCCCTGTATGATAGATAGTACAGGGACTTTATCCTGATTGTTGAGTAACTGTTAGTGATACCTACTGAGTACTGACATCCTGTGAATGATTACTGACTGGTGTGTCTTTGTTGTACAGTATAATCATGAATACCTTCCATGGGAAGAAGGTGGTGGAGTAGTTGATATACCATCAGATGATGGCTACACGGAAGAGGAGGAGACGGACTCAGAAGGTGACATTGACCTTACTGTACCTAGTGAATGTGGTATGGGGAACAGCCACCATTTTGTTGATATTATTATCTAATAGGTAGTTATTGTTCCGCCGATGGGTTATCAGATAATGAAACTGAAGCAACAAAACAAAATGTAACTATTGTCCTTATGTATTGTATTGTGTCTTTGGACTGTACCAGCTGTCCTTTTATTTGCTGGCCTCCTTTTATTATATGAAGTGGTATCTGTTTTAGTGACACTTTGTAATTTACATCATTAGTGCCATCACTCTATTAATTAATGTGCTTTTAAGTACTTTTGTAAACACCATTGTGATATGTGCCTTATATCATATTGTTTATTGTTAATGATAACTGCACTCTAAGTATGAAGGTTTTCTGTTTTATTTCTTTTAGTCTCCTACACCTGGTAAAAGATCATCACGTTCTATCATTAAAGAAGACATTTTCTTTGCTAACACTTTACAGGCTAGTGGTAGGAAAGATTCATTAACTTGTGATGTCAATGAGAGAAAGAGAGAGAGAGAAACTAGCGATATTGAGAAGAGCCCTAAGAGGCTCTGTGTCCTTAGTTCTTCATATCATCATTAATAACTATTGCAGAACTATAAACAACCTTTTCATCACTTTATTGTATGATTTATTAATGATTGTGTGCTTTTCAATCTCTCCTTATATGGAAGAGAATCCCTTGTTTATAAGAATCCTAAGAATGTAATGAATAATGAACTAATTATTATTTATTAAGTCAAGGCTAATGAATATTAATTAATTAGGGGCGTGGGTCTAATATTCATTTTCCGGGGGCGTGTTTGTTGTTAAAAAGTAGCAAAACTGACGCAAACTCTGCAGTACTGCTACTACTCTAGCTGTTCCTTTACTTCCTGGAGCTGTTGATACCTCGTGTTAGTTCAGTGGAGATTCCTGGGATGGAGAAGACCAGAGAAGATCTTTCAAACTTGCTATCTTTGGAAAAGGAGCTTCGTTTTGCAGCAGAGGCTGAGGCTGAAGCTCAGAAACAAGCTCTGCTGCAGCTATTGGTCTGTCTCAAAGACAAGCTGGAGCCTGAACCACCAGGAGAGGAACAACAAGATTACACTAGAAGTGCCTCCAGTTCTTCTTCCGTTAGTAATTTCCCTCCTGCTTTACCTCGAGCCTTCTCTCGGGAATTTTATGATGCTGTCCTACAAGAGATGCCTGATGAGGTACAAGAAACACTAGCTCCTTTACAGCAAAAAGACACAAGTACCTCAGGTAAGCCTGGACTCCACTCACGCATATTTACCGTCTCTTTCTTTTGAAGATTCTAGTTCTTTTGATAAAGCCTGTGCAGCCATTAAACTAGGCAACTACAAACAACTTGTAGCCATTCTTCAAGACAATACTGATAGTAGGAGCGCTTCAGATAGTGAGCGAGAGGCATTGCTTCAGTATGGGACCCAGTTGTTGCATTTAGCTGTTGAAGAAAGAAGCATAAGTATGTTATTACTGTGTTATTCTCTAAATAATTACCAAGATTTGTTTGTACATTTACATGCATGTATTATCATCAATCATGGTGTGAATATGTTGTTGTGTGATAAGTAGAAGCCATTAATCCCTTGATGTCTGCTTTGTTTGTCATTAGATTGTGTTCAAGTGTTACTCAAAGGTGGTGTGAGTCCAAATGAATCTGGTTTAAGCTCACTCCCTCCTTTACATACAGCTGCTAACAATGGATTCAAAAGGTAACCATAATAACACTTTATTGGAATGATGTCACCTTTCTATTGTATTAATACTCTTTCTACTTGATCTTCACTTGTTGACAATCACATTCACACTATTAATCTTTCTTTAGTTGTATTAAGGTATTATTACAATATGGTGCTGAAGTTGATTTGCAAGATTCTAAAGGCCAGACTCCATTATACATTGCACTGGTAGCTGGTCAAACTGATTGTGTTCAGTTACTGTTGAAGAGTCACAGCCCTGGCCTCTCTCTCCTGACTACAGTGAGGCTTCCCTCCGTTATCTCCTCTTTTCTCTCTTCTCTCTTATCCGTTATCAGCTGCTTGCACTTCTTATCAACACAGGCTCACCTCACGATGTGTCAGTACTTGTACTTGTTTATGTTTTGTAGGGCGGTAGGAGTCTCTTCCATGCAGCTGTGTCTAGTTGTTTGGATAATGAGTTGAGATTGTTGCTAGTCTCCATCAGAGCTTCTCTTCCTCCTCAGTCTGTGTCCTCATTACTAAATGGACAAGAGTTCAGCACTGGATATACACCACTTCACATTGCAGCAGAAAAGAAACACATGGTACCTTCAATGTACACAATCACTGCAGTAGCTCCCCTCTCCCTCTCTCTCTCTCTCTCTAGAAATGTTTAATGGTTCTTTTATCTTGTCCTGAGGTTAATCCTAACCTAATGTCATTTGATGGAAGGACAGCTCTTGATCTGGTCACAGGCAGTCCAGACTGCACTGTACTTCTATCAACAAGAAGTAATAATAATTAATAAATATTTAGTGTATATCTGTCTTTTGTTTATTATTGTGTCTTTGTCATGTATTCACCATCTCTTTCCTGCCAATTACAGTTTCTCACAATAAGTTGTGTCTTCCTTCTCCTTTAGATCACAAAGAAGCTTTAGTTCTTGTTCATGAAGGACATTCTTTCTCCTCCTCCTCCTCCTCCTCCTCCTCCTCCTCTGGAGATTATAGAATAGGACGCATTAAACTGCTGACTCATCATAACTGGGATGACCTCAAGTGGCTGGTCAGCAGCTGTTTCAAGGAGTTTGAATATTCTCAGAAATACAACGAGAGGTTTGAGAACAAGTTTACTGAGAGTGATACCTACTTGAATCAAAAGAGATTGATTGGAACCATTGATGAAGACTTGAATCAATTGTGTCAAGTATGTGAACCGGTAATTAATTAATTAATTAATTAATATTAATTATTAATAGACTGATAGTGTGACGTTACTTCAAGAAATGAAAGACGTTCTTTCTAAAAGATGCTCTTCTTTTAAACCATTGAATGATCTCTCCTCCGCCATGAAAGACATCAAGATAGGACAATACACCTGGTCTACTGGTGGGTGGGGCAGTGAGAGGCGTGGCTGTGAAGGGCGGAGTCCTTATGAAGCATTAGTTGAACTGGAAGAAGCAGGAGAATTGCTGGAAATTGAAGTTCATCTTGACAATGGATACCAGCGCATCAGCTATACCTCAATGATTCCTCAAGACGTACTGGAGAAATACACAAATCAAGTAATTAATTATTTAATGTCGTTATTTATTAATTAATTAATTTCAATAGTTATTGAAGTCAAAGTGTGTCATTATCCACGGACCTTTGGAAATTGACTTGAATCAAATATCAGGACACATTGCTGCATCTCTCAAAAGTGTAACGTCAGCAAAAATAGACAAAATTCACATACCATTGAGACCAAGTTATACCCGAGCCCATCTTGTGTCCCTCCTTTATGATAATGGTAAGAATATTAATGTACGCCTTTACAATTTGAGGATTTATTAATAATAGGCATTTTAATTCCTTGCTCAGAATCAGCAGAAACAACTTCAGATTCACCACAGTAAACTAATTCATTAATTAATTGTATTTTGTCTCAGTTCCTCTTTGCTAGTAATGGAAGGAGTCGATAAGATACAGTATCGTGATGTACTCTACACCCTCTCCTCACTATTGGAACATTATTCAACTGGAGAGAGCATTTATTTAGATTTAAATGATAACAATGAAGAGTCCTTTATACCCACTGGGAACTATAAACTATCGGAGCAATGTTATGTAATAGCTACTCGGACATTGTTCACAAAGTGAGTGGGCGGGACTAGGGGTGTGGTCATATGATTCTAAAAATAGAAGTGGGTCTGGTCTGCCTCGTGAAGTGATGGAGTCGTATGCCCATATATGGTTATGTGACTCAGAGGAGCCGATCCTGGGCCAGCTGTACAGGACTTACTTTAAAGAACTAGTTCACATTAACAAAGGGACCCTACCTCTTAAGTAAGTTTATAGTTTATAATTAATAATTATTAAAGTTAATTGTCTTTATATAAAGGTCTGATTATGTGTATCAAGCAGTGGTGTGGGTGTGGCAGTTTTGGTTGATATACAATTACTACATACAACAATTGGGGCTACATGAATTAACACTAGGTATCACCATCATTATCATCATTATTCATTATTCATTATTATTATTATTATTATTATTATTATTATTATCATCATTATTATTATTATTATACAACACAAGGCATACACAATAAAGTACACTAAGGACAAAACAAGAAATAAGAGAAACAAAACATAAAAAGACAAAAGATAAGACAAAGGACTTTAAGAAAGAAAGTCAATTAACACTGGCCATCCAAAACAGATGGGATAATAGGAAGGCGACCAAGCCACATTTGAGCATTAGCATGCCAGAGAGAGATAGAGAGCCTCTGGAAAAGATGGTCAGAGAGCTCAGCAGCAGGGAGACCTGAGCAAGCTCTAAGATAGTGACTGAGGGCTCTAATGACCTTAATGGCAATGGGACTCCATCCTCCTAGGGTCTCTATAGCCATTGGAACTTATTATTATTATTATTATTATTATTATTATTATTATTATTATTATTATTATTATTATTATTATTATTATTATTATTATTATTATTATTGTTATTATTATTATTATTATTATTATTATTATTATTATTATTATTATTATTATTATTATTATTATTATTATTATTATTATTATTATTATTATTATTATTGTTATTATTATCATCATCATCAATGTATAACTGTGTTATTCTCTAGGAGTGAAGTTATTTCTCAATTGCCCTGTTTTGAGTAACAATGCAGACAGTATTTACAAGTATTATTTATTAATTTATTTTATTAATTTTTCTGCTTCACTAGTTGGTTTGCTGAGCTTTGGTCATTTCATGTAATTCCAAAGCTAAAGGAACATTTACTGACAACAAACCAGCAGAAGAAGCAAGAGGCGACTTTTAAGAGTTTAGTATTCTTCATAATCCATCGACTCATCAGCTCAACATGTCCCCTCCCACCACAAGGTACTAATAACTAACAAAATATGAAAAACTCTATCATTTTTTGGAAAAAACCAAAGGCAATAGCCTTGGGTATTTTTCCAAATTTTGGCGTTTTCTTAAGATGGCCGTAACTCGAAAAATTGAAGTCGGAATCAGCTCAAACTTTCTACACAGCATAAGGACATCAATATGTATCAGAAAATGTAATAAAAATTTGGAGTGATTTTTTGGACATTTTTTGGAAAAAACCATGGACTATAGCCTTGGATAATTTTCCAAATTTTGGCGTTTTCTTAAAATGGCCGTAACTCGAAAAATTAAAGTCGGAATAAGTTCAAACTTTCTACACAGCATAAGGACATCAATATGTATCAAAAAATGCAATAAAAATTTGGAGTGATTTTTTGGCCATTTTTTGAAAAAAACCAAAATTTTGAAAAATACCCAAGGCTATAGCCTTGGGTATTTTTCAAAATTTTGGCATTTTCTTAAAATGGCCGTAACTCGAAAAATTGAAGTCGGAATGAGCTCAAACTTTTTACACAGCATAAGGACATCAATATGTATCAGAAAATGTAATAAAAATTTGGAGTGATTTTTTGGCCATTTTTTGAAAAAAACCATGGACTATAGCCTTGGGTATTTTTCAAAATTTTGGCGTTTTCTTAAAATGGCCGTAACTCTAAAAATTGGAATTGGAATGAGCTCAAACTTTCTACACAGCATAAGGACATCAATATGTATCAGAAATTGTAATAAAAATATGGGGTGATTTCGGAGCCATTTTTTGGAAAAAACTATGGACATAGCCTTGGGTATTTTTCAAAATTTTGGCATTTTCTTAAAATGGCCGTAACTTGAAAAATTGAAGTCGGAATGAGCTCAAACTTTGTACACAGCATAAGTACATAAATATGTATCAGAAAATCTGATAAAAATGGAGAATTTTCTACTTTTCATTTTTGGCAAAACTTGTGCCAATACCATGTATTTAGTACAGGTACTTAATTTGGCCCGATATTTTAAGACACTTTAACTTGTTCATTAAAAATCAAATTTTGATTGGAATGAGTCAACACAACATAAGTGCAGTTTACATTTTTTATTATCCTTTGTAGCTCTCAAAGACTTCCTTTCTGCTCTGTACAGCTTCAGTGATAATGATTTATTGTTTGTTCCTCCTGGTCAATCAACTGCTGTTGATAAAAGTACAACTCTCTGTAATATACAATGTCCCAATGATTGTTCTGTGCCTGCAGGTGCTAGAGATACAAAATCTCCTAAAATTAAAAGAACCTATTCAAAGAAATCAATCAGTTCTATAGTATGCAGATACTGTAGATAAAGGCATTAATTTATTGATTATTTATCAATTAGGATCTTGCTAAAACTAATCAATGGGTTTCTGTTGCAGCTGCCGTCAAATCGATAGAAGATCTTTCAGCATCAAGTACAGTACATTAATGTGTATCACTTTTAATTAATTTATAATTCAATTCTCTCAATAGCTGGTGATCTTAATAAACCACAGAGACCAAGAAGTGGCAGTTTTTTCTCTAAAAATTCAACGTAAGCTAATAATAATTTTAGTAATAATTTAAATGATTCATTCATCTCTTATTATTCTTGTAGGTTGAGGAGGTCTTTATTCAAAGGATCGAGAGCTTCACTTTATGCACTGGAAGAAGAAGATGGCAAAGGATCAGGAAAGAGTTCAAGTGGAAAACTGAAGAGAAAGAAAAAGAAAGAGCTAGACCAGGAGAAAAAGGAGAGCATGGATGAATTGTTTGACGTGATGATGTCGTCTGATGAAAGAATGGATGACCAGAGAGTTACTAAAGCCCAAGCTCCTCATCATGTTATTTCAGTTCAGTCGTCTACTACTAGTACACCTCCAGCAAACCACTCTCCTTCCCATTCTCTCTCTGATAAACTTGAGTCCATCCGTCCTCTTTCAGCTGAAGGAAATACTTCTCCTGTAGCTAAACTCTCCTCCGATCAAAGTTTAAATAAAATACGCCAAACTCGTCACCCGAGAATATCTAACTTATTAGAAGCTCATAGTTTACCTCAAGTCTTAAGTCGTTCTGATGAGAACGTGTATCACACTGTTTCAATGGTGTCTCCTAGCAGTGACTCACCTCGTCCATTCTCTGCCTCTACTGCTCCGTATCATCCAAGACAGATCAGCACTGCCTCTTCTGGCTACTCTGATTCAAGAAGGAGTTCCACCGATTCATTGAGTAATTCCTTTAATTCTGATCTAATGAGAAACACTAGCTATAACTCAACTAGTGAGTTTAAGAGAACGTCGAGTCTTGATGGAATCATTGATGATACTAGTTCTTATGTGAGTGGTCAAACTAATGGTAAGACAACTAGTGTTGTTAATGAGAATGGGCTCAGTTCCCAGCCTATCAGTGGTTCAAATGATGCTGAGTCTTGTTCAGTTGATGTTACTAATAAAGAGACTAGTAATGGTCTCCCTGTGGTTGTATCTCCTAGAACAAGGAGATTCTCTCGTTCGTATCAAGCACTTTATTCAGCTAGCCTTGGAGCATGTGCTTCTGATGCTCTTCAGAAGTCACGGAAGTTAAGTTTACCGACTAAAGTTGGTTCTGATACTTATCAGTCGCCAAAGAAGCCACACAATCAGAGGATGAGTACCTCACTCCTTAGCTGGAGGCTGGAGGAGAGTGTGGTTGAAATGTAACCTCCTGCTATTAACTAGCTGATTTCATTATTTTATAAATTATACTGTACATTTCATTAGAATAATGTTATACCATCCTATATTCTTTATCTATACTATGAACTATTGTAACTATGCCAATGTACCAAACCACAGATCAGCAAATGAACTATTGTACTATACAACTCACAATAGACTATGAATCAAGTTATCCCTTGTGGTATCTGATTATGTTGTTTGTGCATGCTAAGGCAGTGCCAGTCTCTAGTGACGTGTGGGTGTGTGATATCTCAATACACATTCCTGCAAGATTTATTTAACATTTTAGACATAATAACTAAATTTCAGACATAAACAAGCTATCAAAAATACTTTTGACAAAAGGTAGCACATCTAATAAGTTCTAAAGTGTGACTTTAAGTCACTAAACTATAACAGTTTGGAAACAATACATGATGAACTGTATCTGAACTGAGCTATATCTAATAGTTGGCAAGAACGGCAATCAACAGGAAGGCCAGCAATGCAGTGGTAGTGGACATTAGACCAATGGATCCACTCACTGATTCAACGGTGTAACCGGAGACAGTGCGACCGTTAAGTGGCTGGACATCACGATAGTTAAGAGTGAGTGGATCACCATTGGTATCATTGAGGGTACGAAGCTTATTGAAGAACTCCATTGGGACAGAGACTGGATTCTGAAGGACAAACCATTCCACTATCTCGTTACAAAGTGGAGTGGTCAATGAGCCAGGGAAGTAGTAATAGCTCAAGTTGCTTGGGAGCATGCTCTCATACGTTATGCTCTGGATAGATCTGGTAGCATTAAAAGCAGGAATAGATTCAGTAAGCTTTTCCCATACAGAGCCAGAGTATTGGACTGATGAATCTGCAGTTAGGAATACTGCTACAACAGTGAACTGGGAGCCCACCGAATTCACAGCACTGACGTTCTGATTGACAAAGTGAAGCTCACCGCTGAAGAAAGTATTATTAACTTTGTTCTCTGAGCCTACCATGTTATTAGGTCCCCAATGAAAGTGAAACTGGAGAAGCTTGTAAGTAGAAATGAAAGTTTGAACTCTTGCCTCGCTTGAGGCAGAAGACGGACTAAACTTTAGAGTGTGGCCATTGTTCAGGACATATCCATTGACACTAGTGTCCCAGTTAGTCATCCGAAGAGGAGTCAGTGTAGAATTGCCACCTTGAACGTTCCTAGTGATAATATCAATAGGAGACTGTCTGCCCCCACTGCAGAATGATCCAAAAAGACTGTTCCAAGCAATCTGATTAGTATAATTGAATGGAACAGCACCAGAGGCTATCCCGAAAAAGAAGAAGAGAGACAAAGCAAGTGGAGTCATCATGTTTTTAGAGTCAGCAAAGGAAATTTTCGCAGCTACACCCCAACTCCTACCAATTACCTTATTTATATGCATGAGCATTGGGCAGTGCTACCGGATTAGACCACACAAAAGATAATGAATAAGTTAGTCTATATCAACTAAAAACATGAAAAACAAACAATAGCCACTAAATAATAATCCACACAAGTACTCAAGTAGAAATTGAGTAAAATTAATTGATAACATTATAATGTAACACATCAGTCCAGCAATCATGAAGGACTCTCTCCAAAGGTTGTCTTCAAACAAGACTGAAGGTCAACCGGTAGCTTAAGTATTACACTTTGAATTAATCTCTGCAAGGTTTGTACTGTCTGTCTAGAGACTGGAGGTTGATGAACAGCTGCTGTTGACTGTTACCAAAACAATTATTGATAATAATTTCTCTTTCAGTCTTACTATGCAGTGCTTGACTTGCAATAGAAAGTCAACTATTTCTATCTCCTGCTTGTCTTTCATCCAAAACAACACATCCTAGAAGACCATAATGAGGACATGAATAAAGTATTGCCATGATTGAATCACAGCCTCCCTCCTCCCTCTCTCTCCCTCACAGCTTTGCAGAGTATGTCGAGGTGGATTAATCTTAATTTCTGATTGGCTTCTTCTCTTCTTGCAGAATACCAAGAAATAAAGTTTGGACAACGTAAAAACTGTCTAAAGAAACAGAGAAAGGACATTATAATTGAAGGAACGTATACCAGCAGTTACTGAGCAAACACATTCCTTTAGTTAAATAAACCAGGAGGACTGGTTAGTTGAATAACTCACCTGTATAATGGGAGCCAGTTCCCTTTGAGTCCACTCATCATTTGTGGGCCTCCTCCTTCAACCATCTTTAAAAACTGATCCTCATTAAAGTCCTTTAATTTAGGAGGTGGCTACAATCCATATTTATTATTATTACATTATCAATATTGTTTTACTTTCCAAGGTGACACATCTCTTTTCAACGGCATCAGTCCTGCTAGGTACCTCTCCTAATGGAAGACACATACACCCACATACACCTACAATACATGTACATGTACATACACCTACAATACATGTATACATTTATTTGGCAGTAGGCAGTACATCAATAGGAATGTGGTGACTGATGCTGTATAGCACCTCTTATGTTCAAACGATGGGACTATTGTGAGTTGTAAATAAAGATTTGTAGAGTCATTAGTATCATAGTAACAAACAGTCAATAGAATTATCTCTTAGTACAAGTATAATAATGTAACAGGCTAGACACACTAGGACTACAGTCAATTGACTGTGTCATTAACTGTCATTAACTGTCATGGGCTGTTAGAGGACAGTACAAACAGGATTGTACAGTAACAGTTGCTAATTGATTTAGTCAGTAGGAGTACCAGTGGGATAATGAAGTTTGTTGTCAGCTCTAAGGCGTGTTTCCTAATCATTGCATTCTGTGAAACAATGGATTATAACTCGTTGCAGTAATAAACTGAATACAATACCTGCACTTCTAATGGTCTCTTCCCCCCCAGGCTGGTCTGTGATAAATCACTAGTAATGAAAGGTTCAGATTATTTACTACTCCTACCTTAGAGTGGAGTAACTTGATGAACAGCTTATCCTTAGTAACGTGGCTTTTATATTTACTATAGAACCCTTTAAAAAAAGGAAAGAATTACTACTAGTATAACACACACACAATGAGTGAGAATAGGTCCATGTGACAGTACATTATTTGCTGTACCTGGTTTAGAGTCAGTCAATTCAATCATTGTCTTTCTTCTTGCTGACATTGCCACTGGTTGTCTATCATCTAAAGGAGACACTCTTAAAATTAATTTATAAAATATGATGGATAATTCTCACCTAACTCAGTAATCTTTATTAAGTGTGGCCAGTGCTCCAGTGTCTTTGTAAAGAAAGGATTAGTAGCTCCTAGCAATACCTGGGGACTGTGAGAGGTAGTATACTGATCAAGATTACTAAAGATTACTAACGGGGCCTGTGTTCTTGTGGTGTAGTGTTTGAATTCTGAATCATGAATAGTAAAGTATGGCCTGTAGTCAGTGCTGTATCTCAAGGGATGAATCAAACTGTAAGATATAATGACAGCTGGTCATAAACCCACCCACTCACCTAACGAGTGCTTGCACAGTGTTAGCACACAGTGTGGGGGAGGAGCCCATCACAGCAAGAGGCTATGAATAATCAATTAATTAAATAATCAATTAATTAACATACTTCGTTAAGAAGGATTAGCTCCCAAATTGATTCAAAATGTGATAAAACAGGTTGTAATGCTCTTGACAATAATAAATAAATAAATAAATAAATAAATAAACAGCTTACTGGTACAGATTGAGTTCGTGTACTGAAGGTATGACAACCATAGCTGACTAATAATTAATTAATAACAATATAATTATCATCAATAATCACTACATAGTGCAATAGTTAGTGGCATTTGTCACAATACATATAAGGAAGGTGTATACAAGGTACTTGTGAATAGTGTGTTAATATGAGAGTGTACATTGAGCATGGACATTATGTTGAATTTAATGTATAGTTGCAGCAAAGATCAAAGGCCTAACAGTTGTGATAAAACCCACAGAACACTCCCACCAATACCGCAGTGTGATATTATAAATAGCACACTCATTTATTTAATGTGCAGCAGTGTGATATCAGTGATAGCAGAGCACGTGCAATCTTTGCTCGAACTATACACTAAAACAATTAATACATGTGGCATCGTGTGCTATCGGATTTATCCGCACTCGCTTCCGGTCTCGTCGCTAAAAATAGCACACGAGGCCGAAGGCCAAGTGTGCTATTTTTAGCAACGAGACCAGAAGCTCGTGCGGATAAATCAGATAGAACACACCGCCCCATGTATTAACTATTACATGAAATATCTTACAGATTTTCCCAATGTGTCAGGCATCATAGTATTGGATGATTCCGGCTTGTCAGTTTTTAATGGAATTCTAACCTACAGATATCAATAATAAGTTAATCAATCAATTAATTATTAATTACATAAATTAGTTGTCCTAATAAAGGTAACTGTAGCAGCTGTCCAGGTCTAGGGGGAGGCCACTTGTTAATGTTGTGACAAGCTAAGGAAAGAGAGCACACAATGAGAGCTCCTCCATCATAATGGATAGTATCTGCTCTATTATAATAGATAGTATCTCCACTATCATAATGGATAGTATATATATCAAATAGGACCAAAGCCCCTGTACTATAGTACAGGGACTTTGGCCACATTTCACCAAAAATGAAAAGGAGAGAATTCTCCATTTTATTACATTTTCTAATTCATATACATGTTCTTATGTTTAATAGAAAGTTTGAGTTGATTCCGATCAAAATTGGATTTTTTTTACAAATTTTAAAAGTTGCTCCAAGGCCAAGGATGGACTTACCAGCTTCTAATGATGGAAGTCCATTCTTAAAAAAATCTGGAGCTAATTTTTCAATCTAAAATATAATTTAAATCATCATCATCATCACTATTACTATTATGTTCACCAGATAAGTGAAGAACGTGATGTAAGGTAGGCGTGACAGGAGAACCAGTGATTTTTGAAAGTATCCTCTCCTAATGTCAGAGTCCTTTATCTGTCTGAAGTAGACAAACCCGTAATAATGAGACTCATCAGGCTACACAAGGAAGTGAAATACACGTTAACAAGCACCAATAATGTACCAATAATGTACCAATAATATACTAATAATGTACCAATAATATACTAATAATGTACCAATAGTGTACCAATAATGTACCAATAATATACTAATAATGTAATACTAAATTACTAATAATGTACCAATAATGTACTAATAATGTATCAGTAGAGCTGTTGCTTACTGTTAGAACAAGAGGTGCTCCGATGTGATCAGAAGAGAACTTTAATGAAGTCCCTCCTGCCCCAGGACCGGAACAACGAATCCTAAAATGATACTGTGTATCACCCATGCACCCTGAGGGGTGTGGCAGGGAGCGGGGCAGGGGGCAGGGCATCAAGAGCAAAAAAGAGTGAGATATGAAGGTAAGTTTATCTAACCTGAATTAGAGTCAGGAAAAGCAAGATAGCACACGTTAGATTTCTACAAATAAATAAATAAATAAATTAATTAATTAATTAATGAATAAAAATTAGGAGTACCTCAGTATCTGACAGTTGATAAGTCGGTGGGTAAATACTCTAAAAATAAAATAATAAAAAATAAAATGTACTTGTTCATGGAATGTACAGGTACTGCATAAGTGTACACCTGAACAAACAAGCACACACACATACATTACCTACTCGTACATGATTACATGCATAGTTAATGAGTTTGTTGTTCCCAATTGAAAGAAATAGTAAACAGTACAATACATGTACAGGTAGGTCAGTTTCTGGTAAGCACGAGGGTATTATACACATAGTTGTACATGTATAATATAGTCCATACCTCAATGGCTTGTCCTAATTCAAGGTCAAAGGTGACCACACAGAAACAAGAGATCCAGTGAGAGAGATTACCAAACTGATCAATGGCTCCTTTAGCAGTAGCTCCCTCCTCCTCCTCCTCTGAAGAGAAAGAAGAAGATGAAGGACTGGTTGATAATCTTCTAGGAGATCCTTCAGCCAACAAGGTCTCGTCAACTAGGACACTGTCCTCTGATATAATCATCTCTTCACTACTGGTAGCCATTTTGAAGTGGGAGGGGTAAAATAGGAGGGGCTTGATTCAAGCCCCTCCCTCTACCCACGTGTAGTGCCAATGGCTGAAAGAAAGCAGAGGATTTCTAAAGAGCTTTTAAAGAAGCCAGTTGGACCTGGTTAGACCAGAGATCCATCGTATTTAACTATTATGATTCATTCCAGGAGTTCCATTAATAAATGGAGACGAAAATAAACATTTAAAGACATTTAAAATTGAAAGAAGCTCAAGTTAGCAACCAATGTACTCATACCCTCCTATTAATTATACTTGTGGAGAGAGTATACATAAGGTTTTCTATCTGTCCCTCCTTTAGCTTTATCTCAAGTGAAGTCCTTCCTTCCTTCACTGGCTAGGGCTAATCAAGAGCTGAGTGATGCCATTAGTAAAGAAGGTGGAAATGAGAAAGTTAGTATTGAGACTCCACAAGATTCAGCAGCGAGGTGCATTCAGTTGGTTAGTGTTGCTTGTATTTGATAGTTTATTGTGAATGTACTTGATTTTAGGATTTAGCATTAGTTCAATATGAAGGAGAGGAGGAGGAGGAAAGGAAACAAATATTAGTTTTACCTGATGAAATTTCGCATCCTTCAAGAAGAGGATTACAAATTGAAGAATTGAAATAGTAACTTTTCATTTTTACTTTTGTTTTGTGTCTGATATAAATTAAAATATGTGATTGTTTTCACTTCAAAGTGGGCGAGAATTTTCATCTTAAAGTGGATGTTAGATTTACCCTCAAAGTGTAATATACCAGTCCATCTTTTGTCTCTTAGTAACAAAAACAATGATTGTAAGGTCATCTTTTTCTCTATAACAATATCAAGGAAGAATATCGTTATATCAATAAGTGAACCTGTCAGATGAGCTCATTGCGCTAAAGTACAACGAATCAAAACATACCCTTTGTATTACAATCACAAAGCAAGAGTGTATTGTCAACACCCTGGGGTATTGTTATGCCTATACCTGCTTGTTTAGTGGGATGGCAGAGCAATTGTAACAACTTTTCATTTTCATTGTTTTGTGTACAAAACTAATAAAAAACAACTGCTCTAATAACCATCAAACGGTGAGTCTATATAAACAACTCCTGTACCACAGGAATATAGCTCATTTGTCGGTAGAGACAGATTCAAAGATGTTGATAGTCATTTTGCTCTCTGTTCATGCTTTGTTTTGTTCAGGTGCACCTAGCAATGATCAGTCATTGGGCCTGAGGCGAAGCAATAATGGTTTAGCTACCACTGATGGTTTCTATTCACTAGCACTGTGCATACTGTATCGGTTGGATGTAGTTAATTGCGATAAGGAAGCACCCATTCCTCCAGTACAGTGAGTTTATTATGTTAACTGTGTTACTTTATTTTATTGTCATTTTCTATTTCAACAACACCCACGCATACACAGTCAAACTATCACATACGCTGCAAATCCATACCCAAACTGCTTCACGCGGCGGTTTGCTTGCGATGCTAAAAAGGATCACGTTTCATCAACTAATGGACTCACTTCTATTCCAATAAGACCTCACAAAGAAGTTGGATCTACAGAATATCCTGCTCGTATTCTCCAGTATTTTCATATACAGTGTCCTACTGGGAGATTTGCACGATTCGTTACTGGTAGCAGTTCAATTGAACTTGAAGGGAGACACTCAATAGGTGATCAAAATATCTGTCTTGACTATGTTCAAATTAAATTGCTTGCTACTGGTGAAGAGTGTGAGATCTGTGGTAATGAAGCACTGACTGATAAATGTGGTAGCATTGTGAACAGGACCTATTCATACAGCACTAGCAATATGCTCATCACTTTTAGATCTGATCCAATAAAACAAGAGAGTGGTTTCAAGATAAATATAGCATGCAATGCAAATGAAATGGAAGAGGAGGGTATTGGAGAATGTCTCAAAACAAGTTCATCTTTGTCTTGGAATGAGTACAAGAGAATGATACAATCTCCTAATTATATTGAAGTAAGCAGTGCACACACACAGACACACGTACTTAATGAAATTGTTTATAGTATACAGAAGCTATCAGTCATGTTCCTTATGATGCAACAGGAATATTGTTTGATTTTTATGGTGACTATCATTATAAAAGTCTCAAAGCTCCAGGTAGAGTGTAATTGATATCTCATATAGTGACATTAATTCATTTTACAGTAAAGTCATACAAGGGAATGCTGTCTCTGGCAAGGATAGCACAAAAGAGTTGTGATGCATCAACGAGGACTGTCGCAAGAGATGTACAGGATCTATTCCCATACTCAATGAGAGAAGAAGTACCTTATTTTGAAGAACAACCCACTGGAGGTACACTAGCTATATGATATTCATTAATGGCATTGGCTTTATGTTACTAGATGAGGAACCAATGGGAGAAGATACTTATGCTTACTGAAGAGCTAAAGAGAGACTCATGCACACATCATGCATGTAGACATCAGATAGTAGACATTAGAGGATTGTTTTTAATAGTTTTCTTTCATTGTTAGTTTAATGTATCTTGATTTCAACAAACAATTATAAAGAGTATAATCTATAATCCAGCATGTTATGAATGGCCCGTAGTAGCTGTTACATAGCTTTGCCCTATGACACATAAAGCTCTACAATATTGTCATGTATTAAGTATTAAGTTGAAACTAAGAGTGCTTATTTAAAGGTGAGATAAACATACAAAAGCATAACAATATCTACCCATTAGTGTCAATCCCATACCACCCACCAACAGTTATTATACACTCAACAATAATAACAATTAGTTTATAGTGATTTGCTTATAATAGTATAGAGGAAGTCTTTCAGTTTTAAAGTTATTACTAACTGTGGATTCATAACAACAACCTGTGGTCCCTATATAATACAAGCATTCACCACTCACTCTTTCAAAGATCAGTTACATACTAATAATTATGTTGTTTGTTTCTGTTTTTCTCTCTCTAGTTCTTATCTGTGCTGGAATACCTTCTGGGATTTTTCAACCAGGTAGTGGGCCACCATCAGTTGTTGGAAAGGAAACTTCTGGTTCTTTTTCTGCTTGGAACCTCTTGTATCGTTTGGATGTTGTTAGCTGCAGTTCTGCAGCTATACCTCCATTAAAGTAAGTTGCAATGTGAGTTGTATAGTATTCATTCATTCATTGATACACACACTGCAGTCAGAGCTTTACTTACAGTGCCTGGCCATATCTCAATTACTTCACTTGGGAATTTCGATGCTATGCAACACTGGAGCTCCATGCATCTGTTCTTGCTGGTAATATCATCACCTTAAGGTCCAATTCGGAGAATGGTCGTTATAAACCACATGTTCTCGAGTATTTCCATATACAGTGTCCTCCTGGGAGATTTGCACGATTCGTTACTGGCAGCAGTTCAATTGAACTTGAAGGGAGACACTCAATAGGTGATCAAAATATCTGTCTTGACTATGTTCAAATTAAATTGCTTGCTACTGGTGAAAAGTGTGAGATCTGTGGTAATGAAGCACTGACTGATAACTGTGGTAGCATTGTGAACAGGACCTATTCGTACAACACTAGCAATATGCTCATCACTTTTAGATCTAATTCCGTTAAACAAGAGCGTGGTTTCAAGATAAGTATAGCATGTAATGCAAATGAAATGGAAGAGGAGGGCATTGGAGAATGCCTCAAAACAAGTTCATCTTTGTCTTGGAATGAGTACAAGAGAATGATACAATCTCCTAATTATATTGAAGTAAGCAGTACACACACACACACATATTTAATGAAATTGTTTATAGTATACAGAAGCTATCAGTCATGTTCCTTATGATGCAACAGGAATATTGTTTGATTTTTATGGTGACTATCAATATAAAAGTCTCAAAGCTCCAGGTAGAGTGTAATGATATCTCATATAGTGACATTAATTCATTTTACAGTAAAGTCATACAAGGGAATACTGTCTCTGGCAAAAATAGCACAAAAGAGTTGTGATGCATCAACTAGGACTGTTGCAAGAGAGGTACAGGATCTATTCCCATACTCAATGAGAGAAGAAGTACCTTATTTTGAAGAACAACCTACTGGAGGTACGTACCACTAGCTATATGATATTCATTAATGGCATTGGCTTTATGTTACTAGTTGAGGAACCAATGCAAATGGGAGACTTTGAGTTCCAACAAGATTACAAGAAATAGATCATTAGTATAACTTTTAGTTTTGGTAGTGAGTATATGTTGTACATTTTGCAACTTTAGGAAAATACAAACAAACAGTTTTAACTTTTTAGTTTCAATATTACTAAATACATAAACAATGTGCAGTCCTAAACTAGCAAATAACAAACTTTAATAAAGCACTTTTCAGTTACATGTAACGTGAATGACGAGCAATATATGCCACTAGTATTTAGTCTAATTCTTTTGATGGCATCATTACTAATAAACAAATTGAACTAGCTACCTCACGCTGTCCATTAATGTTTTGACAAAATATGTTGTCAGTTGTGACTAGCAGAACAGTGAGTGATTGGTTTTCATCGAATGATAGTCTGGAATAACAATACAATCACCACGTTTATTTTTATAAAACAAAGTAGCAATGAAAAGCGATATTGTTTTGAGTAATTATACAAACAATGTCAAAGGGAAATGGAAGACCACTGGCTAATCCTCAGCACATTATGGGTGGGTCCTAGTCCACATGCCCTTTATAACAGTGATGGGCCATTGAACTGTCTCAAGAGAGACAGGAGTATTTGCATGATTATGAAAATGATGATCAAATTCAGCAGTCTGTTCCTCTTACTGCTGCTGGCCCTACTGCATGAGTCTAAAGAGCAGACTAGAAGTAAGTGTATATATAGTTGTACATCATGATCTGTTGTCTAGGATCATTGATATATCTGGATGGGTTTGGTATGGTACCAGACTACAGTCAGTTAAGTGCTGCTAGTATCACTAGTTCAACTGGCCTATGGTGTAGAGGAGGAATAGAAGCAACTGATGCTGTCCAGTGGATACTACCTGATGCTACAATCCTCTCAAGTGGAAATACCAGCAGTAATATCACGAGTGTGTCAGTCTGCTTGCAGTCAGTAGGTCTGTTTGATATCAGTAGACACAATCTTAATGATGAGGAGTCTCTATCATCAACTGGTGATTCCTCTCTTCTCCTCTCTGGTGTATATACATGTATTGTTCCTTTTAAGGATGGTCGCATTGAGAGATATTATGTTTGGATTGTAAAAGGTAAGCATATACAGTGAGCAATCATGTTTGTATTATTGTAATAGAGAATACACCTCCAGTTTTCAATACCACATTAAGCGATTGCTCTATCATTGGTATCGATCCATTCCAGTCTATACTAACACTAAGTGCTGGAGGTCAAATAAACAATGGAGCAGTTACTAACTACACCTGCCCTGGAGTAGAAATAGCAGAGTTCAGAGGTGTAAGTAAAACACTCTCTCCCACAAGAATGACTCTATTTAAATTGTTTAATATTTCAATTGTTCCTCCACTAAATGATACCAATGGGTTTGTTGGATGCTCTGCTGTTAACACTGATGGAAATGATGTATTGAGGTGTACACTCAAAAGTATAACCACGTTTCATATAATAACGAAATAACATGTTCTCTTTACTGCAGGTATCTCTCAATCACTGCCAGTTATCACAAAAGCAATGAGATTATCCAATGACACATCATCAGCTACCATTGAATGGTCTCCTTCAGAAACCAGCCAGGCCTCCAACCTCTTTTATCAAGTATTTGCAAGAATCTTCACAAGCGAGCCATCAGATAGGACCGGTCTAATCACTGGTAGCATTATTGGAGACACTAGTGCTATTGTGAGAGGTCTCACAGAATATGTGTCATACCAAGTGATTGTGGCAGCATTTGATCAACAGACAATGGCCAGAATAACTCCATTACCTGTAGTCAGTGACACTTCAGTAATAAAACCAGGTATGAGCTACTCCCCATGCTTTGCAGTGATTATATACTCATACTGTTTGTTGTATTATAGTTCAGTGTGAAACTGCTACTGGATATTATTTAGACATTGATCTAAAGAATACTGATGATGATATTTGTAACAATATCACAAAACAAAATGAGAACTTCTTCCTTGAGGTAGTAAAGACTGTTGCTGAACTCCAACAAAGAGAATTTAAAAATTGCAGTGTCCTACTTGAACCAAAAATCATGAAGTTTACCTGTGACTTTCAGAATATGGAGACAAAAACTCCAAAAGGATCAAGAATAAAAATAAAATCTCTTATATTTTGTCAGAAATGTCTAAGAGAAAAGAGAAGGCAAGCAAGAATGTCTTCAAAAGCAAAAAACAAACTAAAAATGTCAAAAAATAAAAGTAAAACAAGAGGAAAGATATATCAATGTAGATCAGTATCAGTCATTGTAAGAGGAGTGTCATTGGTTGGTAAAGTCAAGATTGAAAGTACCTCCTCATATTATTGTAACCAAAGAGCAGCAAATGAATTTGGTCAATGTGGTAAGTACAAGTATTAATTGTTGAAATAATAATAACATTTTATTTTTAGACTGCCACAGAGACTGTTTCAACTAGTCATAATCATACACACACACACACACAAAGAGTTATGATTATGTGGATATTTTGTAATATTTGATGATGATAATTAAATTAAACAGAAAATTAGAGCTTAGGGTGTGTGCCCTCCTACATATTGTGTACATAGCATTGAAGGGCAGAGTAAGCAGTGTGGGGCAGTACTGTCAGCAAATAATGATAATATCAAATTAACTTGAGCCTACACACCCAAACAGAGTTAGTTAGAGCAGAGAAGAAGATGAAGTATTACATGATGCTGTTACTAGGTGCACTGCTATATGGAGGAGCTTCAGGTAATCTCATTGCTTTGTAATGTACCCAATGAGTTACTATGATCTATCACTCTGTAATGTATCATGTACAAGTAAATAGACAATTCTTTTATAGTCATAAATCAAAGTGCATAGGAACAGGCTATAGACTGTAGTAAATTGTCTAAAATAACATTATCACATTTTTATTACATTTTCTGATACATATTGATGCCCATATGGTGTGTAAAAAGTTTGAGCTGATTCTGACTTAAATTTTCTGAGTTACGGCCATTTTAAGAAAACACCAAAAGTTTGGTAAATACCCAAGGCTATAGTCCATGGTTTTTTCTAAAAAATGGCCAAAAAATCACTCCAAATTATTATTACATTTTCTGATGCATATTGATGTCCTTATACTGTGTAGCAAGTTTGAGCTGATTCTGACTTCAATTTTTTGAGTTATGGCCATTTTTTCAAAATGCCAAAATTTTGAAAAATACCCAAGGCTATTATAGTCCATGGTATTTTCCAAAAGATGACCAAAAAATCACTCCAACTCTTTATTACATTTTCTGATACATATTGATGTCCTTATGCTGTGTAGAAAGTTTGAGCTGATTCCAATTTCAATTTTCGGAGTTACGGCCATTTTAAGAAAATGCCAAAAATCTGAAAAATACCCAAGGCTATTAGTAACGCGGTAGCGTTACTAAGTAGGATTCACCCCAAACAAAATGGCTGCCACGACTTTTGCAGCCTTGCTATACCGGGAAAACGAGCTCCTATGCTTACCAGACTTTATAGAGGACCTTATCTTGACCAGAGGACTCCAATGGTACCACTAGCGTGGCTCTAGACCTTGTCTAAGCGAAAAGTCAAAAATCGGCGAACCGGCCGTTTTGTTCAGCCACCTTTTTTCATCTTCATCATCATCTTCATAATCAAGTCCTGTCAATCCAGTTGTCGGTGTGTATCTCAGTATCAGTTGGTGCTACAAGAATAATTCTTACACCAATCTACTCCAACAGTCTATGCGCAGGTCCATGTCCCATCAGATCATTCTTCAAGTAAGGAAAAGGTGATACTGTGACTGCTGGATCGAGCCATCTTAGCTACATGCCGCCATTTTGTTAATTAAAGAAGCTTGCCATGTGCTCCAAAATTTGGGTGTGGTCGCGCATGCTCAGATGCAGATCTGCTAGTGGTGGGCGATACTGGCCAAAATGAATTCGATACGATACCGATCGATATCAGCTCATATCGAGAGTATCGATACAGTTTTGATACGATATTTAGACCACACCTATGGAGTCACACCCCTTATTATTGACTGTTTTCATCGATGTTTTCATGCACGTGTATCCACGTGTGTGTATTATACGTCATTAACTTATTAAATATTTCATTATTAATATTATATAACCATAATAAATGGGCGTGGTCAACGTATCGATCCAGATTCCTTCAAAATTTCGATACCGATACGAATCGATACCGTAAAATATCGTTTGTATCGATAAAATATCGATATATCGCCCACCACTAAGATCTGCAGCTCTGGAAGAAGCAATTTATTTTTTACTAAGCTATGCTTGGAATCAACTTACTGCAATACTTTAGTGGAGGTTTCCAGCTAAAAGAAGGTATTGATTTTACATGTTACTGTTTTATCAAGTGTGTTATTTAATTTTATTAAAAAAAACAAACAATTAATTAATGTTATGACTTATGATATGCAATAATAATTATGAACTTGACAACAGCCTGGAAGAACAGGCATAGCAGGGAAGATGGACACTCTTAGCTCACAGATTCTTGAACAAGGACTTGTGTTAAGACTAGTATTAGTTTCACTTGTCATCAGTATAGTTGATATTCCTTCAGCATGTCTATTCAATGCTGTCTCTCATAAATGTTATAACAATGATAATAATAATAAAGAAAATTATTGTTTGTGTAAAATCAACAAGTATTACAATTGCAACTAAAGAAATACTATAAATATTATTTAAAAAATCAACACAAACAAGAACATAAAAAATTTAAAAAAAGCAAGATGAAGTAGGATTCCGAACAACCAACGAAAATACGAAATATTATTTAAAAAATCAACACAAACAAGTACAATGTAGAGTAGAATTTGCGTCACAAGTAGGATTTTCATTTCGTATTTTCGTTGGTCGTTCGGAATCCTACTTCATCTTGTTTTTTTAAATTTTTTATGCTTAGTCCATGGTATTTTCCAAAAAATGGCTCTGAAATCCCCCCCAAATTTTTATTACATTTTCTGATACAGATTGATGTCCTTATGCTGTGTAGAAAGTTTGAGCTGATTCTGACTTCATTTTTTCGAGTTACATGCCAAAAATCTGAAAAATACCCAAGGCTATAGTCCATGGTTTTTTCCAAAAAATGGCTTCAAAATTACCCCAAATTTTTGTTACATTTTTTGATAGATAATAATGTTCTTATACAAATTTAAAATGTTGAGTCAATTCTGATAAAAAATTAAGAAGCAATGGCCATTTAAAAAATTATCCAATTTTTGAAATTTTCACTGAACAGGAATTTTGACCAAATTTTTGCTGAAAATAAAATTAGAGAGTTCTCCAGTTTTATTACATTTTTTATTGCATGTATACATGTACTTGTAAATACAATATAATACATTCAATGGGTTTTTAATTTTTCAAGTTTTAGACATGTTAATAATTTTATGTAATGTGTCAATTGGCAGGTAAAGCAGGGATATTTGTGAGGAGTAGAGGCTTCATAAAAGACTATCATCAACTAACAATTGATGATTTAAGTGATGGAGGGCAACTTCATTGTGTCAATACTGAGAAACATAATGATTCCAGTTTATTGTGGATCCTACCAAGTGGAGATACAATACACTCACTTATTGCAGGAACCAATCTATTAAACAACAGTCAGTATTCATTAATGCTCCCCCTTCATTTGATAAAAAAGACTGCCGGAGTATATACTTGTAAAGTGAAAGACAGCACTGTTGATGGAACAATTGATGAACAGCATGTATGGATAGCATTAGAGCAAGGTAAGATATTTTGATGATCATTATCACTGATTTAATTCACTTTTAGAATCACCAGCACCTTACATTAAGGAGCATTCTTGTATACTGGAAAGTATCTTTCCCTACCAAGAGATGTATGTAATCATAATGACATCATGGATAGAACGGGGAGCACCATCACACATTAACTGCTTTATAAAAGACAGTCCTCAACAAGTGTTAAGACAAGCAGCCAAAGAGATCATCATTTTATCTAGTTATATGCCAGAGCCTCTAGCTAAAGTCTCTGTTGGTTACCTTGTACCATTCTTAACACCTCCTTATGATATTCAATGTACTGTCTCTAATGCTGGAGGTCAGGGCTCTTTTAACTGCATATTAAAAGGTATTTAAACTATTAATCATAATAATGATGTTTATTGAATGTAGACTCAAATATAAGTACACCTACTGTACTTACTATCATTAAGAAACAAGATAATGAAGTATTGCTGAGATGGGATGGAGTTAAGGATCCAATGAATCTCTTATCTCATTATTCAGTCTATCAGCAAACAAGAGTAGGGCTGATCATTAAGAAACAAGTATCAGAGCCTCAAGCAATACTTCCTGATACTAGGGAACTGAGTGATGTAAGGATTGTTGCTAATAGTCGACAGCCACTTCACAATGTGATATACTTACCATCAATCGGAAGCATTATCAGTATGTACAAGCATATCATTATTATTATTGTGTTATTAATTATTATTATAGATAAATGCCAACCATCATTTGGATATACGATACAGTTAACTGTAACTAAAGCAGAAGATGCAGATCTTAGTACAATGATAAATGATGTCATTGGTTCCACTGGTGTATTGAATACCTGCAGTGCAGTTGATGCAAGTATACTGAGCACTGAAGTGATCGAGGAATCAACCAGAACAAGTAGTAAAGGAAGTAAAACCAAAAAATCAAAAAGAACAGCAACAGAGAAGACAAGAAAGCACAAAAAATCAAAAACAAAAAAGAAGACAAAATCAAAGACAAAAACAAGATGGACAAAGACTAAGACTAAGACTAAGAGTAAGACTAAGACTAAGAGTAAGAGTAGGACTAAGACTAAGACCAAGACTAAGACTAAGAGTAGGACTAAGAGTAGGACTAAGACTAAGAGTATAAAGACTGCAGGAAAAGAAAAGTCAAAAAAGATGTCCTACAGTACAATTGCTGCTAAAGTCCTTGTCACTTGTGATAGCTGTAGCATTTGGAGAACAGGAACGACTAGCAATCCTAGCATAGGAACCTTCTCACAATCAATATCAAACAACTTTATGATAATATCAGGACCTGACTACTACTGTCAGGAAACTGTAGTTGAGAGCCGAAACCAAGTGTGCAGTGAGTTCCTTGATAATGATAATGATGATGATGATGATTAAACTTATTTTTCAGGTTGTTCAACAAGATGTAAAATTTAAAGACAAATCATTAATAATATTATTATTTAATTTAATTATTGTTATTATTATTATTCATTGATGTAAAACTAAAAGGTGGGACTAACCACATGTAGACATGGCGGATGGTTCAGGCGAGGGTTCAGGGTGGAAAAGAGTTCAATCTCTTTTTAAGTTAAGGTAGTAACAATAGGCACAGTGTATGAGTCTAACCTCCTGATAGTAATGGTTCAAGGCCGCCAGAGGAAATAGAAGCATGGTCTAATGCAGTGTTTGTGGCTACTGCCTTTGGATTCCTGTTTGGTGGACTGATTGGTGCCAGGCACTCTGGTGATAAGTATATAGCCATGAATCATAATACTAAATACCAACACCCCATCCAAGCTCATGTAAGTGTATACAAAAGTGTTTCTTTATTTGTTTGTGTATACAATACTCCACAGAGAGAGATGCACGGTGCAGCTGCACTAGGTTTCTTGCGTCAAGGTCTCAAGTGGGGCTATAAGATGGGAGCTTTTGTTGCTTTGTTTAGGTACTCGATGACTTTTAACTAACCAACCTTGACCTTCTCTTTAGCGGCTGTGATATTTTATTGTCTGTCTATCGAAATAAAGATGACATGTTAAATATGATTGCGTCCGGAGGTATAACAAACATTGATAGTATGAAATGTCTTACCATTGTACAGGTGTGACTGGACTCCTCTTTAGAGTAAGGTATGGCATTAAACCATCAATTGGAGGAATGACATTAGGACTATTAGTAACGTAATTATATTCATTATCTACCAATTGATTGATCCTCCTTGTGTGCAGGACTCCGTTTGCTGTAGTATTCCATGGGCTGGACTGGCTGTTGGTCAGTGAAGAGAAACGACAGAAACGCATAGAGCAAGTATTGGAAGCAAGAAGAAAGAGAGAGAGAACTTGGTAAGAAATGACCAGTACTATAGATTGAAGAGAGACACTGCCTGTTTATAATGTAGGGATGATAGATTGGATGTGATTAGTGAAGTAATGGACAATCTTGATGTTGATGATGAATCATCAACAAAGTCTCTGAAAACTTATTATGAAGTAAAGAATTCTAAATAGATAATAATAATAATAATAATAATAATAATAATAATAATAGCTAAGCAATATATTCATTAGTTGCTGATGTCACTTTTGTTACACGTCAAAGAGTCTTAATTACTTGTTCAATGTTATTTACGACTGACAGTAAACATGTCAGTCCTATTAACAACTTATGAATATCCTTAAATTGTATCTTTATATCTCACTGGCAGCCCCACCTTTTCCTTTGCATTCATACATGGTCTTGTTTGTCAACTGCTTGGATTCTTGAGCCAATAGCCCATACAGTGTAATAGAGTAGTAGTTATGTTTGCACGGGCAGTGAGGCAAATCTCAGGTGTTCCTTTTGAAGGAAAGACAGAATCTCTTGAAGGAGCTGAGCCTGAACTCTGTATTACCATTTTCCAAAGAGGCTTGAATTTTTCTGGTGTTAAGAAGAAGCTAGTCAATGCTGATCCTGCCTGGATGGAGTCCTTCATTGAGGAAGGAGGCCTCTTTGCTCTCTTTGAGGGACTCCAGGGACTTGAGAACTCAGGACTGGACTCCATTGCCGGTACTGTCAAACTACTGGACTGTGTCGATTGCATCAAAGCAGTCATGAACTCACAAGTTGGACTTGAGTTTATAATCCACTCTGACAAGAACTTTACTAACATACTGATTGAAGGTGAGTGATAAACAGGAGGTGATGATTATATACTGATTGTTATCTAACGTTCTTTGTTGTGTAGAGTTGAATACTAATATTCCACTGGTGAAGATGCACATATTTGAGATGCTAAGTGCAGTGTCTATATATTCTGATGAAGGTCTGTATGTTGTCCTTGGAGCATTGAAGCATTATAAGGTGCAGTAGTAGCCATTAGTAATGGATCCTTTCTTTATCATAGCAATACTGATACACTCCCGGTACTAATGGTGCATGAACTGTTATTAATGGTTATTAGGTGTTTAATGGTCTCAGACATCACTTCAGTAAACTGATTGAGGAATTGCAGTCGAGTGAAACTGATGAGTATGCTGCTTGTGTGTTAGCATTCATCAATTGCTTGATAGCAGGATCAGTGGGGCTTGAGGCCAGAGTTCACCTCCGCAATGAACTACTAGGTATGACTTCATTTCACAGTTGCCTAGTGTCTGATTTAATTGATAACATGTAGCTTCATCCATGTATGCAATTGGAATTCAATTTATGTATTGATTTAGTCAAATCATACTTTAATTAACATACCATCCTCCTTTGTATTCAATGCAGCACTCAACCTCCAGGAAGAGTTGAACAGGTTCAAGTAAGTTTTTGACAATGCAATAATTATTACAATTACTTTTTATTGACTAAAGGAGCAGTTCTTGTGAGTCATTAATAACACAACTTGACGTCTTTGAGGATTCCAATGCTTCTGATAGTCAGTTACTGGTAGAACAAGGAATCGACTTACAGTCACCAGAAGAAATGTTCCACACTGTGTATGAGAAGGTACTGCAGCAACACACGCTTACACGCATTATTTTTTATTATTTATTATTATTTATTATTATTTATTATTATTTATTATCATGATTTATTGTATAATAATAACAACATGTACATACACTGACAGGTCCTGGGTACACCACAAGTATTGAACCTGCTACACATACTCCAGAGTATGGTACTGATTGAAAGGGGATCCACTGATGCTGGAATGATATGGACACTCCTTGAAGAACTGACACAAAGAACTGTACTGATGAACGAACCTCAAAGGATTGAAGAGTTCCGTAGGAAATCACTTGAACTGATAACTGAGGCAGTTAAAGCTAGAAGAACCAGTACTACTGCTGGTAATTATTATCACTATTATTATTATTATTATTATTATTATTAATTGTGTTGTTTATTGTTTAGCTCCAACAATATTTGAAGAGGAATCTCCTCATTTTGACACCTCATCACCAGACCCACTCACCCCACCACCTCAGGCTCCACCCCCTCCTCCCCAGGCTCCTCCCCCACCACCTCCTCCTCCCCAAGCTCTGCCCCCTCCTCCTCAAGCCCCGCCCCTCCCTCATGTATCGTCCAATAGTCCATTACTGGTTCATCCTCCTTTACAAAGGACCTCTTCTATATTAGACATGGCCAGGTCCTACACCCCCAGTAAGAGCATGAAGAAGCTTAATTGGCAAAAGATACCCCAACACTTAGCAACAAGGTCAGGTACACTTTGGGAGGTATCGACCAACCTCTCCCTCCAACCAAAAGTGAACATCAAGTTTGATGAACTTGAAGAATTGTTTGCTCGTAAAGGAGTGATGAATCAGCGAAGCATGGATACCACCACTCCTCTTAAGCCCTCGCCTTCTGTTGTTAGTTTACTGGATACTAAAGCTAGTCTTAATGTCAGTATATTCCTGAAGCAGTTTAAACTGGACAATACCAGTATAGTTGATATTATAAAGGATGGCCAATACACTAAGATCAGTATTGAACAGCTTAATGCTTTAGCTAAACTACTCCCTAGCAAAACAACAGTAAGTACCTTTACCATTATCATTAACCAGTTGTATTACCAGTATCATTAACCAGTTGTATTACCAGTATCATTAACCAGTTGTATTACCAGTATCATTAACCAGTTGTATTACCAGTATCATATCCAGTTGTATTACCAGTATCATTAACTAGTTGTATTACCAGTATCATTAACCAGTTGTATTACCAGTATCATTAACCAGTTGTATTACCAGTATCATTAACCAGTTGTATTACCAGTATCATTAACCAGTTGTATTACCAGTATCATTAACCAGTTGTATTACCAGTATCATTAACCAGTTGTATTACCAGTATCATTAACCAGTTGTATTACCAGTATCATTAACCAGTTGTATTACCAGTATCATTAACCAGTTGTATTACCAGTATCATTAACCAGTTGTATTACCAGTATCATTAACCAGTTGTATTACCAGTATCATTAACCAGTTGTATTACCAGTATCATTAACCAGTTGTATTACCAGTATTTGGTTATTGTATTGCAATAGGTTGAGCTATTGAAGTCTTTTGATGGACAGAGGTCTTTGCTTGGAACACCCGAGGATTTTTTTCTTCAACTTTTACAAGTTAAAAGGTGACAGTTAACAGTGGTGCATTGAATTACACATAAACCCAAGCACTGTTTGTACTCTCTGCTTATTTGTACCGTCTGCTTAAGAAGTCTCTCAATAGTTTCAATGCATGATCTGATTTTTAAGTAACTTCAAACATACACAAAAAAATCTAATTTTTATCAGAATCAGTTCACACTTTCTACACAGCATAAGTGCATGTATATGTATCAGAAAATGTAATAAAATTGGAGAATTCTCACCTTGACATTTTTGGCAAAATTTGCTCAAGACCATATACTATAGCACAGGGACTTTTGTCCGATTTTGGAGCAACTTTAAAAAATTATAAAAAATCCAAACTTGATTGGAATCAGCTCCATCTTTATACACAGCATAAGTACATGTATATGCATCAGGAAATGTAATAAAATTGAGGAATTTTTTACTTGTCAATTTTTGTGAAATTTTACAAAAATCCCTGTACTATAGTACAGGGACTTTTGTCCGATTTTTGAGCAAATTCAAAAAATCATAAAAAATCCAAACTTGATCGGAATCAGCTCCAGCTTTCTACACAGCATAAGTACATGTATATGCATCAGGAAATGTAATAAAATTGAGAAATTTTTACTTGTGAATTTTTGTGAAATTTTACAAAAGTCCCTGTACTATAGTACAGGGATTTTTGTCCAATTTTTGAGCAACTTTAAAAAATCATAGAAAATCCAAACTTGATCAGAATCAGCTCAATTTTTCTACACTGAATAAGTACATGTATATGCATCAGGAAATGTAATAAAATTGAGGAATTTTCTATCTGTCAATTTTTGTGAAATTTTTGAAAAATACAGGGACTTTTGTCCTATTCTGGAGCAACTTTAAAAAATTGTTAAAAATCTAATTTTGATCGGAATTAACTCAAACTTTTTACACAACATAAGGACATGCATATGTATCAGAAAATGTAATAAAATTGGAGAATTCTCACCTTGACATTTTTGGCAAAATTTGCCCAAGACCATGTACTATAGTACAGGGACTTTTGTCCGATTTTTGAGCAAATTCAAAAAATCATAAAAAAATCCAAACTTGATTGGAATCAGCTCCATCTTTCTACACTGCATAAGTACATGTATATACATCAGGAAATGTAATAAAATTGAGGAATTTTCTATCTGTCAATTTTTGTGAAATTTTTGAAAAATCCCTGTACTATAGTACAGGGACTTTTGTCCTATTTTGGAGCAACTTTAAAAAATTGTAAAAAATCTAATTTTGATTGGAATCAACTCAAACTTTCTACACAGCATAAGTGCATGTATATGTATCAGAAAATGTAATAAAATTGGAGGATTCTTTACTTTTCATTTTTGGTGAAATTTGGCCTGAATACAGGGACTTTGATCTGAGTTTGGAGTAACTTTTAAAAATCATAAAAAATTTAGTTTTAATCAGAATTAGTTCAAACTTTCTGCACAACATAAAACCGTTTATATGCATCAGAATTCTTTGGTATTTTTTTGATTTTTATAGTTACACACTACGCATTGAGGCAATGAAGGTTAGGCTGGAATATAGTGAGAGACAAACTGAATTGAAGCAAGTTATAAATACATTGAGAATGGCAATATCAGGTTAACTTGAAGACTACTTATTTATTTACATTTTATTTATTTATTTATTTATTAATTTATTTATTTACAGAGGTATTAGATTCGTCTTCTATCCGTGACATATGCTATGTTGCCTTGGTAACCGGGAATGTTATTAATGCAGTAAGCACAGATAATAATATTAAAATAATTAGTATTAATTCTTATATTTAGGGTGGTCATGCTGGTTCGGCATTTGGTTTCACAATATCTTCACTGCAAAAGTTAAAGGATACTCGAGCCAACAAGTCAAATATGTCATTGCTCCATTACATTACTGGCCTCTTTGATCAACAGCTTCCTGACGTCTCAAAATGGAGGGAACAGCTACCACATCTTGAAGAAGCAAGCAAGTAAAGCAGTGACTCCTCCTATTACCATAGATTATTCATAGTTATTAATTTTTAAGGACGAGTCTTGAGTATTTGACTGAGCAGGTGACACATATTGACAGCCAAATCAAAGGATTGCGTAAGAAGATCAAGGAGTCCCCGGGGGACCTTCAGGACCAGCTGGAGTCATTCTTACTTGAAGCAGAAGAGGAAGTTGTTGATCTTCGTTTTGCTTTAGAGAATGTTCATGACCTTTCAAAGCAAACAGCTGATTATTTCTGTGAGGATAGTGAGAGCTTTAATCTTAACGTGTGCCTCTCAGAACTCTTTGGATTCTTCCTTGAGTATGAAAAGGCCATTAAGGTAAGGTAGAGAAGTTTATTGATGAAAGTCACTGTGTGTCATGTATGGGCTAGGAAAACAAGCAAAGGGCAATACTAGAAGCAGAGGCAAAGAAGAGAGAGGAACAAAGAACCAACCAACATAAGAAAACTAAAAACAAAACAAACTCAATATCATCAACTAATGAAGAACATTGTCTTGTTGATCAGCTCCTCCAAGAAATAAAGGAAGGAACTTCTCTCCGCACAACTAACAAGTCTCACTCAAGAAGGAGGAGCTCCTTAAATCATGATGGACTCAAGCGACTTCAAGATGTTATTTTGAAAAGTGAAGCATATTACAAGAAAAGACGTGCTTCTCAAATATCCCAAGAAGACAGAGAAAGACTAACCGACGTACCATTAGCCTCCGTTAATGAGGAAGAACCTTAATTAACACACTCCACACAAGCAATGATAGTATAATATACCTACTGCTATATCTAAAACCCACTCCTTTAACTTTAGATTGTAATTTGTACCACTATAAGAATGTATTTTTAAAATGAACAAGATTTCCCGCCAATAAACCCGGTCATCTCCGTTTTTTAATTTAGTACATGTACCGGACCCAATAAGTCCGTATAACTCCGTTTTTGCATATTAAACAAAAATGTCTTCCAGCAGGTAAGATAAAAAACAGTCCTGCCTATATACCTCTCTCTCTGTTTGTTGTAGTGAAAGGAGAGGGAGGAGGGCGAGTAGAAGGAGAGACAGATCCTACAGTAGATCAAGAAGCAGGAGTGTATCTCGGAGTAGAAGCAGATCAAGAAGCAGGGAGAGAAGGAATACGAGTAGAGAGAGGAGGTCCAGTAGATCATGGAGCAGAGAGAGGAGGAGTAGGAGCAGAGACAGGAGTAGAGAGAGGAGGAGACATCGTAGAGTCTGGAGGGTGGGTAATAAATGGGTGGGGCAGTGCATCTTTAATAATGTATAACAACAAACCTTGGCAAAGCATGTCTCATAAAATGGCCGAATTATAATGGGAGAAATTATTTCTTGTTTGAATATAACTAGGAACACGATGATAGAGATGAAGTTGATTACTCCAGTAGGAGAGATGACCGGTATTCATTAGGAATTATTAACGGATCATTGAGTCCTTTTTAGATCCATACAGCATCACAGTTCAGAACCTGGACCTGTTGTAATGCTCAGAAACCTTGTAATGTCAATAACGAAGGAACAGGTGCGGGTGTTTCTATTTAATGCACATGTATTTCTATTTAATGCTCACCAACAGCTGGTGGCTGCAATGGGCCCTGCCATGTCCACAGTAGTTGACATCAGGCTGATCCAGAACAGAGAGGGTAAGCATTGTCATGTGAGTCTCACGTGACTCCTCTTGTAGGGTCTCGTAACTATGCTTTTGCTGAATTCAATTCAGTTGAAGATGCTACAAAATGGATGAATGAACATAAAGAGGTTTGACAGCAAAAGCTAATAATTTACTCGATCTTAGGCTGGTTTCCATGTGCGTGGTTGTGAGGTGAACATAACTTACAGTCGACAGCAAAAAGATAACAACAATATTGAGACTAAGAACAAGAGAGACTCAAGACGTGGCGACTGGAACTGCTTTAAGGTAGAGGAGGAGGAGGGGGGAAGGGTGATCATATTGTTCTTTTTAGTGTGGTACACTTAATTTTTCAAAGAGGAGTGTTTGTTTAACGTGCGATTGTTCAAGATCAGGTAGTGATGCAGTCCCATGTTAATTTGCTCTTATTCCTTTCCTGTCTAGAATCAGACAGTCTTGAAGATGACAGATTATCAGGACGACTCCCTGAATCAGAGCAGCGTGAAGACACATCAGAACCTCCTTCCAATGGTACATCAAGTACCACACCTTCACACGAACCCCTTCTTACAATATTGGAGCTCACGCTCCTTCTTCAAATAATGTCCCAAGTTATAAACACAAGCTCCATTAGACCATTGATGTACTAGCTCCTACAGTTACTGGTTCAGTTCATTTTGTGTAAATTGACTTTTTCCTTCTCTTTCGCTTGGTCTATTCTCTTTTAGTCATTATCATTCGTGGTTTGGAACTGTCTTCTAATGAGAAATCAGTGAGTACATGTACACATCCACTCGTCATCCAGTAACATTGCCCCTTTAGATCAGAGATGCTATATCTGGTATATCCAGTGTCCATCTGAAGGACATTAGACTCATCAAAGATAAAGTCACTAATATTTCAAGAGGTTTCTGTTTTGTAGAGACTGATACAGCTGAGGTATTGCTACATGTACATGTACTGTATACATGTAACTGTACTTGTGTTAGGAATGTGGTGAGCTAATGAAAGCTGTACAGGAGCAGTTTCCCGCCTTTTTCATTGACGGAAAGAGAGGTACAACTAGAATACCTTGCTGATATTGTATCTACACATTCTTCAGTGAATCCTTCATTCGCCAGACAGAACATAGTACCTGTCCAAAGCAAACCAAGGTATAGGCTGGACTTATGTACATGTACAGTACATGTTCGTAATTAACACATTCCTTAGTAACGCTAAAGCAGCAGCCGCTATTGAACAAGCTCAAGCTATGGTTAGTTAACAGTTGATAATTGATATTGTATTCACTTGTCCAGAACCAGCAAAGAGCTTTAAGACAGAAACAGCAACAATCATCAGCTAATAACACCATTAGCAGCAGTACAGGTAGAGGTAGACTCACCCAGTAAATGTATTTCATTATGAATATTAGGTAATACTGAAACACCTTCTGATAGTGGTGAGTGAAGTATACTGAGTTATACTGGAGTATACTGGTTATTTTTAGGTCTTCCGTCTACATACATGTTTGATTCTGCTTCTGGCTTTTATTACGACACGACCACCGGACTGTATTATGACCCTAAAACACAGGTGCATGATATTTAATTATTTATTCATGATTATTATCTTCAATTACAGTATCATTATAATAGTCAGACTGGACAGTATTGTTACTATGATGCCAATAAACTAGCTTATATATCTGTTAATGCTGATGGGTAGATAATACAATTATTATTATTAACTATGATACTTATTAATAGCACACCTGCAGCTGTTAGTGAAAGTGATGAATCTATTCCGGCATCTAAAGGTTGGTATAGTTTAAATGTACATGTACATGTATTATTGATGCAGAGAAGAAAAAGAAAGATGTTAATACAGTAACAAGTAGCAAGACAGCAAAGAAGGTAGTGCTAATATTGTATTGTCATCTGTTGGACTTGTCATTGATCAGATTGCTAAAGACATGGAGCGATGGGCTAAATCTATTAATACTCAGAAACAAGTTCAACAAAGTTTAATTCATCACCAGCAACAAGTAATGATACAGCAAAGACCATTGGCTGCTGTTGAAGATATCAATCCAGCAACAATAATGGAGTCATCACTCACTGAGGAATCAACTACTCACGTAATTATATTATCATTATTTTCTTTCTTTCATGTATTATTGATTATTGTTGTGTCAGGAGTTGGTTAGTTCTAGTGAATTCATTGACGTGGAGCAGCTAGCCTGTCTCCTTTGTAAGAGGAAGTTTGCTAATGAGTCACAGTTACTGAAGCATCAGCAGTTCTCGGACCTACACAAAGTAGCTACATGTATTGATGATGTACTGTGTCTTTATTGGAGCTGCACTTTATGTAGCAAAACATGGAAAAGGAGAGACAGAAATTATTCTCTAATCCAGGAGGAGCACCTGAAGTAAAAACTGGCCCCCACTGATTATTATTATTATTATTATTTATATTCACTTCAGTATAGAGACAGAGCTAAGGAGAGGAGGGATAAGTTTGGTACAGTGGCCATTGTTCCTGGTTGGAAGAAGAGATTTGAATTAGAGAGAGCAAGAGAATCTATAGACTCTTCAGACACGTAAGAATTTAATTATTAATTATTAATTATTATTAATTATTAATTATTATTAATTAAAAGATACGAACCTCCAGCTGAAACTCAATCTCGTTCTCATGACAATGTTGGAAGCAAGTTATTAAAGGTACGTTGTTACTATGGATACTGTTACTATGGATACTGTCCCTCAGGCGATGGGATGGAGTGAAGGTAAAGGATTAGGGAAGCAGCATCAAGGAATCACTGCACCAATTGAAGTATACCATTCTTATCATTCTTTATTGTTACTGATTACTCTTAAAAGGCGGAACAAAGAGCCCCTGCAGCTGGTCTAGGATCAGTGGGCAGTCATTATGGAGGTGCCAGTGGGTCTAGCAGTTACAGGGACAATGTTAAGTCTGTGGCTAGAGCCAGATTTCAACAAATGTTTCAGAACAAAAATTAATATTAATAATAATTATTATTATTAAGTACATGTACATGCACATATTTACTATAAATGTCAAAATTTGTAAAGTTAACCTACTGTGATCATAATGTCACATGATCAATGTGTCACATGATCAGGTCCATATATATAAATGCACTCAGCAGTCAGTAGTCATTGCACAGTAACCAGTTTATTGCAGTACACATTTGCAGTAAATCTTGTTCAACATGGCCACTCCTCCTAGTGGTTCATTAAGGATAGGGGATACTGTATTGTTTAGGATTAACAATGGATTTGTGTATTCAGAGCTATCAAGGTATAACGTGCCTATATTTAATTTATTAATTAAGATATCTGCTCTTAGTTCTCCTTATAACTTCATGATGGTTTCTGGTGACACTGAAGAGCTACCTAATGTGAACTGTAAGCATATGCAGTGTATGTGGGTGTATTCATGAGTCCTTCATTTCTTGTCAGTTGCTGTGTTCAAGGTACTAGCTCCTAACAAGTACAAGGCACGTCATCATCTTGCAGAGTTGGAACAGTGAGTTATACGAGAGGGTCACTGGTTAATGGTCACTGGTTATTGTGTGTATTTTGTAGGAGAAAGAGTGAAGAATATGAAATATTGAATGCTAAAGTAAACTAGCACACAATACACAGTCTATACTGTATATACTATGTATTGTATGCTATACATATACTGTATATACAGTACATGTACATGTTAATTCATGTTAATGTAGCGAGCATTGGAAGTGGAGAACACTGAGAATGAGATTGAACAAGCTAGAAGATATGGATCAAGAGTATTATATGGAGACTCTGTCCAGGTAATCGAGGGACTGGTCCAGCTGGACTCTGTTGATTCATTAATGGTTTGTAGTTGCAGCATGTTTCATCTAAGAAGTTTGTGTCCGTTCATTCAGAAGCTTCAAAAACAGAGAGCAACAATCTTCTAGTAAGTAAATTGGAATAATATGTATTTAATCAAATGTGTTATAGATCAGTTTGTCCAGTGTCAATGCTGAAGGTTGTGTTTTTAAAGTCCTCCCTCGGTATAAAGTGAGATCTGAAGGCGACGAGGTACTCATTGGACAGTACATGATAATTAATTATTATTTATTAATGAATGAAGGTTCGATTTCGTGACCAGCTCAAGATTGAGAGTATGAAGACACAAGGCCAGTTCCTCCACTCCAGTAACAGGACACTGGGAGCTTCTAATGCCAGCTTCAATGTACTGAAGGACTGGTCAGTATTGCCTTTTTATTTATTTATTTATTTTATTTATGTTTATTTAGTTTTGAGTTGAATCTCTCTGCTACTGAATCAGCTCTTACTCTAATTTCTCACTTCTCTCCATCTTCTAACAAGATTGACGACAAAGCTTTGAGAGTAAGTACATCTTCAACTGCTCTACAGTAACAGCTAGTATAGTAACAGTATAGTACTTGTTTTTTACATTTGGTTGAATAGTTAGTTGCACAGTACATTAGGTGACAGCCCTGGTCACTATTAACAGTTATTCCACAGACTGTCCCACACTACTTCAATTGTTGATAACATATGATACTTACTATTAACACATTCCACAGCAGCCATAGCCTAATTCTCATTGAGGACATAATGTAACTGTGACCTTTAGCATGGACCAGTGTACATGTACCATATTCTATACTGATCTTTACCATGGACCAGTGTACATGTACCATATTCTATACTGACCTTTACCATGGACCAGTGTACATGTACCATATTCTATACTGACCTTTACCATGGACCAGTGTACATGTACCATATTCTATACTGACCTTTACCATGGACCAGTGTACATGTACCATATTCTATACTGACCTTTACCATGGACCAGTGTACATGTACCATATTCTATACTGATCTTTACCATGGACCAGTGTACATGTACCATATTCTATACTGACCTTTAGCATGGACCAGTGTACACGTACCATATTCTATACTGACCTTTACCATGGACCAGTGTACATGTACCATATTCTATACTGACGTTTAGCATGGACCAGTGTACATGTACCATATTCTATACTGACCTTTACCATGGACCAGTGTACATGTACCATATTCTATACTGACCTTTACCATGGACCAGTGTACATGTACCATATTCTATACTGACCTTTAGCATGGACCAGTGTACATGTACCATATTCTATACTGACCTTTAGCATGGACCAGTGTACACGTACCATATTCTATACTGATCTTTACCATGGACCAGTGTACACGTACCATATTCTATACTGATCTTTACCATGGACCAGTGTACATGTACCATATTCTATACTGACCTTTAGCATGGACCAGTGTACACGTACCATATTCTATACTGACCTTTACCATGGACCAGTGTACATGTACCATATTCTATACTGACCTTTACCATGGACCAGTGTACATGTACCATATTCTATACTGACCTTTACCATGGACCAGTGTACATGTACCATATTCTATACTGATCTTTACCATGGACCAGTGTACATGTACCATATTCTATACTGACCTTTACCATGGACCAGTGTACATGTACCATATTCTATACTGACCTTTACCATGGACCAGTGTACATGTACCATATTCTATACTGACCTTTACCATGGACCAGTGTACATGTACCATATTCTATACTGACCTTTACCATGGACCAGTGTACACGTACCATATTCTATACTGACCTTTACCATGGACCAGTGTACATGTACCATATTCTATACTGACCTTTACCATGGACCAGTGTACACGTACCATATTCTATACTGACCTTTAGCATGGACCAGTGTACATGTACCATATTCTATACTGACCTTTAGCATGGACCAGTGTACATGTACCATATTCTATACTGACCTTTACCATGGACCAGTGTACATGTACCATATTCTATACTGATCTTTACCATGGACCAGTGTACACGTACCATATTCTATACTGACCTTTACCATGGACCAGTGTACACGTACCATATTCTATACTGACCTTTAGCATGGACCAGTGTACATGTACCATATTCTATACTGACCTTTAGCATGGACCAGTGTACATGTACCATATTCTATACTGACCTTTACCATGGACCAGTGTACACGTACCATATTCTATACTGACCTTTACCATGGACCAGTGTACACGTACCATATTCTATACTGACCTTTACCATGGACCAGTGTACACGTACCATATTCTATACTGACCTTTAGCATGGACCAGTGTACATGTACCATATTCTATACTGACCTTTAGCACACAATGTTTGACTTGTATTCATAATGTGTCTTCTTCATAGGCTGGCAGTTGTGTGAGATTGTTCCACAAAGAAGATGAGTGTTACATTGTAGCTGAAGGATCTTTTGCTGAACTTGATAATCCTATCATTGAGGATGGTCTGTTACTGTATTTAGTAACACTGTTCTATTAATAGCTACATGTGTAGTTCATTGTAGAATGAGAAGAGTTGACAATAGGAAACATGGTGAGCCTTCAACCTCCTCTAATACATACTGGCAGATTGAGAAGCAAGAGAACCCAATTGATGGTAAGTTATGTTATTAATTAACTACAGTACATTATTATCCTGTGCTTGCTTCATAAGGTAATGTCATATCTTGGGGTGACAGATGCAGACTGAAGCACTTACCAACAAGATCCTACCTTGCAGTGCAGAAAGAAGGAGAGCAAGACTGGAAGGTCAATATATTGTACATGTACATGCAGTTTTATTGTTATACGGTATATTGTATCTTATGGTAACTCTATAGGTTACTTTAACAGAGGAGAAAGGTCTGGATACAATATTCAGTTTCTCACCACTGATTCAAGTACCATACACACACACACATTAATAGATGTACCACTGATTCAAGTACCATACACACACACACACATTAATAGATGTACCAGTCAATATGTATCATAATCATAAATACTTTGTCAGTGACTGTTACTTCATATGATACATCAATAGGAAGGAGATGAAGTTTTGCTTGAATCATATGCACTTATTAAACACAGGGTCAGTGGGAGGTGGCTTCATTTAGATAAACAAAGTAACTTTCTTACAGTTACTATATTAATTTAATGGACTTCTGTCTCAACTAAGGTAAATATGAACGAGTTGGTTTTGATTCAAAGGCTAAAGGACTGGCTGGACTACAATGGGACTCTGCTGAATTATATAAAGTAATTGATTTGTTAATAAATTAATAATAATAATAATGATGATGATGATGATGATGATTAGTTGACTACCAGTGCAGACAGAGGAGATTATGATTCATTTACACTACAAGAGGTATGCTAGTATATCCCAGTATATTCTAGTATATCCCAATAGGTCAAAGAAGATCTGGTGGATAGATTCAATTTTGTAGCTGGTATTGTACCAGTACTTACTGCATTTATTAGAAGTGTTAGTATTCAGTGTACACTGGTATATTATTATGAACAATGTACTGTAGTGCTTTGATGGCAGTGACATCAAACAGAAGCAAGGTGTACGTGTGAGAGAGTCTCTTAAAGATTTAAAGAAATGGCTAGTGACAGACAGAGACAGAGACACTAAGAATAACCAGAAACTGCTTAGGAATTTAAGAGTACATAGCAATAGTGTCAGGATATACATGTATGTATAATAGGTATTGGAACAATTGGCAGAGATACTTAAAGCAGTTGAAGAGTTATCTAGTCGATCAAAGTAACCACTTTAATGTACATTATTATTATTAATGTTTTTACCTATACAATGTACTTGCATATATATTCAAGTTTTGATCATTCAAAGATTAAGCCGAAATTCCTTGTACTATTAGCCCACTTGTGAAAGGGAACAAAGCCTTCGAAAAGTTATTGTAAATAATAAAGCATGAAGGCTAAGGAAAAACATAAATTTTTCCAAAAATGGCTCTGAAATTACCCCAAATTTTTAATACATTAAAAAATACATATTGATGTCCTTATGCTGTGTAGAAAATTTGAGCTGATTCCGACTTCAATTTTTCAAGTTATGGCTGTTTTAAGAAAATGCCAAAAATCTCAAAAATACCCAAGGCTATAGTCCATGGTTTTTTCGAAAAATGGCTCCGAAATTGCCCCAAATTTTTATTACATTTTCTGATACATATTGATGTCTTTATGCCTTGTAGAAAGTTTGAGCTGATTCCAAGTTCAATTTTTCAAGTTATGGCTGTTTTAAGAAAATGCCAAAAATCTGAAAAATACCCAAGGCTATAGTCCATGGTTTTTTTGCAAAAATGGCCAAAAAATCACCCCAAATTTTTATTACATTTTTTGATACATATTGATGTCCTTATACCTTGTAGAAAGTTTGAGGTGATTCCGACTTCAATTTTTCAAGTTACAGCTGTTTTAAGAAAATGCCAAAAATCTGAAAAACACCCAAGGCTATAGTCCATTGTTTTTTTTCAAGAAATGGCCAAAAAATTACCCCAAATTTTTATTACATTTTTTGATACATATTGATGTCTTTATGCCTTGTAGAAAGTTTGAGCTGATTCCAAGTTCAATTTTTCAAGTTACGGCTGTTTTAAGAAAATGCCAAAAATCTGAAAAATACCCAAGGCTATAGTCCATGGTTTTTTCCAAAAAATGGCCAAAAAATTATTCCAAATTTTTATTAGATTTTCTGATACACATTAATGTCCTTATGCTGTGTAGAAAGTTTGAGCTGATTCCGACTTCAATTTTTCAGGTTATGGCCGTTTTAAGAAAATGCCAAAAATCTGAAAAATACCCAAGGCTATTATAGTCCATGGTTTTTTCCAAAAAATGGCCAAAAAATTACCCCAAATTTTTATTACATTTTCTGATACATATTGATGTCTTTATGCCTTGTAGAAAGTTTGAGCTGATTCCAAGTTCAATTTTTCAAGTTACGGCTGTTTTAAGAAAATGCCAAAAATCTGAAAAATACCCAAGGCTATTATAGTCCATGGTTTTTTCCAAAAAATGGCCAAAAAATCACCCTAAATTTTTATCACATTTTCTGATACATATTGATGCCCTTATGCTGTGTACTGATTATTATCCTTACTATTGTAGACACTTTATTGTGGAAATTGGTCGTGAATGTTATAACGTCATTCAAAAGTTTTTGGAAGGAGACAGTCGAAAGAATGAGAACTATCTTGCACATTTTATTGAATTTTTTCAAACACAGGCAAGAAATACCCACACTATAATTAATATAATTTATTGTTTTATAGATGGGTCAAGGTTTAAATGCAGAGGAAGTATTAGTTGAAATAGTTCAGGACAACTTGTAAGTGACTCTATGTATATAATGCAAAAGTCCCTCTCACTGTGTGTCACCTTTTAGAACTATTGTATCAACAATGGCTGACACTCAGATGAGCAATATGATCAAGCAATTCGTTGAAACACAAGTAAAAGTGTTATACAATTATACTGGGAATAATTTAAATGAATCGTTGATGTAGGACCCAAGGTTCTTGGAGTTTCTCAGTTCACTTTGTGTGTGTGCAGATAGACCAATCCCATCAACACAAAGTAACTTTATTATTATTAATTGTTATTGATTTTGTTATTATTTTTTATTATTCTTAATTATTTGTGTTTGATAGTTCGATTGCTGAATGAACTAGTGAGACCTCATGGAAGAGTAAGAAAATGAATGAATTATTAATTAATTAATTGACAACTGCAGGATATATTCCTGCAAACTGAAGTTGATCGCATAGCAGAGACTGGAGAGGAGAGGGTGTTTGTTCGTGGTCCCTCAGTGAATGACAAGTTGATATCAATGCGTAAGATTAATCCACCAGAGGACAAGAAAAGACAAATTAGGAGATCTACCTCAGAGAAAAAAGATAAAAGGGTTTGATTTTATCAAATTATTTGTTGCATTAACCTTCTGGCAGGACCCTTATGAACTGTTGCTAGCCCAGTTACACTTTATAGCTAAACTGTGCAAGGTAACCTTTTAAGATACTTGTAGTGTACTATCAACTCAAACTGGTCTACAAACTGACAATATGAACATGTATTATATTGCTAGGGCAATAACAATGAGACCATATCTGCACTGATGTATAGTGAAGAGAATTCAACTGGGTACATTGGTTTTAATGAAGCTATTACTGTTGTTAAAGATGCTCAAATTGATTCTACTTTGAGATCCTGTTATGTTGAACTGATTCTTGTTATGTTTGTTGATGTTGGAGAGAACAGGTCATTCCTAGACCACCTCTGCTACTCTTTTGTGAGTACATTCAGTATAACGTGCCCTCTGGTTAATCACTGTAACGTCCCCTCTGGTTAATCACTAGGTTTATGATGGACTAAGTGCCACTCCTTATGATGATACTGGAGATGAGGAGACCATTGCTCTAACTGGGGTTGAAAACCTTCACTTCCCTGACCTAAAGAACTGGATATTAGACACTATTAATAGCAGAACAGTAATTATAGTGTCTACATTATGTATCTTATTGATATTATATTTAAATTTCAGGAGCTGAGGTCTCATTCCAGTTTCATTAAGCAAAACGAGTATCTTTCTCATGTACTTGAACTATTGGGGTATTTGGTACGATATGGTTACTATGACGACTTGGGAGATGTTGACGATACAATGATACCTCTGATTAAACTACTTGATGGACACACTGACCTACCATCACTACCTAATGAAGGTCAATTATATAATGTTTTGTATCAATTTAGTGATTACTGTTTGTGTGTAGATGATACTGAAGAAATGACTGAGTTCATATCTCAGTTCAGGGCCTCTGGTAGGAAGATGGACACACCTGAAAACAAAGCTGTCTTTGGTGTGAAGTGCAGGTGATCAATATTCATTATTAATTATTATTAATTATCATAATCACTAATTACTTTAGGGCCCTGGAAGTTTTGGAACTTTTCTTTCGTTTCAAATTTTACGTCAAGTTACAAGTACTTTTGTGATCCATTTTGATCTAGTCTGATCTATTCCACTAGAAATTCATGTATGATTTTATTGTCCTTCAAACTAAAAGAATTCGTGTTCAAAGTTTTTCATTCCATCAGTCGACAGAAGAGGCTGATCCACCTGTGGCTTTGTCCCAATTGATTCAACTGCCTGAGAATGACTGTTCTATTGTACACAGTTCAAGAATGATTAGGTTATTATTATCATTATTATTATCATTATTATCATTATTATTATTATTATCATTATTATTATTATTATTTATTAAAATATTATTTAAATTTATAGCATGACAAGAGATCGTATAAAGTACTTGTGTGGAGGTTGCATTGATGGAGGTGGTTTTGCTCCAGCTGATAAAGGTGTCCCTAAACTAGAAGAAGTATTACTTGATCTTTCAGAGTATGATTGTGATGAATTGGTAACAGCATCTCTTGATCTGTTGACTCAAATGTACTTCTTTGAAGAGGAGCTGTTCCAAAAGGCACATCAGGTACATATTGTACGCATTGGATCTTGCACTACTAACCCTCTATTGATGGCAGGGTCAACTACTGACAGCTCCAGAGTCATTGAAGGATTTCAAACTAGTTAAGGACGACATACTACCTGAACTGAGGCAGCTCCTAAGAGTTGATGCTAATCGTGAGAATCAGGACAGGGTTGAGTATCTAATGCAACAACTGAAGGGCCTTTGTATCATGAGAGGAAGTGATGATCCGAATAAACAAAATCAACTGATGCTTGATAACTTTGGTAATTCAAGAAAGCATTAACAGTATTTATCACAATTGTATGATGCAGGACTTGTATCAGAACTGGTCAGTTTTGTATTGTCCAATGAAAGTCAAGAGTCACAAGTAGAAACTGCTTCTGCCACTGAAGATGATGCTAAAGGTATAGCCTCTCATTATTATTATTATTATTATCATTATTATTATTATCATTATCATTATGCTTATATGATTGTCTAGACATTAAAGGTGCAGCATTGCCAGTGGGTAAAGGAGTCTGCCATGAATGCTTGTGTTTACTGCGCCATCTAGCAACTGACAATATCTCTGTATGAATTATTATTATTATTATTATTATTATTATTATTATTATTATTATTATTATTATTATTATTATTATTATTATTATTATTATTATTATTTATTATTATTATTATTATTATTATTATTATTATTGTTATTAGGTTCAGAAGAGACTATTCAATAGGATTGATGATTTACTTGACATTACAGTCCCTGTACCAGTTCTTTCAGACCTTGCTGACCTCATCACTGAAGTATGCTAACTGGAGTACAGTCCAGTACATGTATACTGCATCACTGCACTTATACTGTACTGTAGGTGTTCACTGGTGGACCTGAGCTTATATTAAAAGTCACTGAAGATCACATTGAAAAGATATTTGGAATAATGAAAGATTCTGAGAATTGTAATGTACAAGCACAATTTATGGTGACACTTGAAGCAATGGCTAAAGTAATTATTTCATTAATAATTATTAATTAATGAGTTTCCTTCAGATTGAAGAATTTAATCTACCGGTTGCTCGTAACCAGGCCCAAATTATTAAAAACTTTTGTCAGTTGGACAGAAAAGGTTTTTGTAAGATTGTACTGGGAGAAGATAAAGATATTGAAGAACAAAGAATGGACCTTTTAGAAACAGTAATAGCAATAATAATAATAATAATAATAATAATAATAATAATAATAATAATAATAATAATAATAATAATAATAATAATAATAATACTGTTATTGATGATGCTGTAATAATTATGCACTATAGGATGATGATGACAGCCCTCAGCTACAACTCCTTCTTAATGTCACTGACATGTTAGCTGCTTGTGCTGAAGGAAAGCACAGGTTTATAGAGTCTGTATGCCAGAATATTCTATCAATTGATGAACTAATCAAGTAAGTATATTATTAGTATATTTTAGTATACTTTGTTACACTTATGGTTATTTTTAGCATAATGACTAGTAATTTGCCTCCTAATCGTAAAAGACCTTTTGTTCGTTTCCTTATATGGGTATACATGGTAACGCAGGAGGACCAGCGAGGACAGCAGGGAGCCACTCTTAGTCACGGAGAGTAAGTAATGAAATACTGTGTACCTTACAATAGTATAATGTACTTAATACAGTGCATCTAATACTGTCTGTATCTTATACCATAGATCAGGAAATATGTGCGGTAGAAAATTTTTGTGTTTTAAAATTGTGCTGTGATTTAATGTTTCCTAAATAAGACTGTGTCATGTATTATTGAATGTGGCATGTAATTATATGGATGATCTAATTTTTGCAAAATTCTAATCCAGTAAAATTAAAATCACAGTAAAAATATACCAGATAGACAGTAAATGAGTCATTTAGTTGTTAGCACATCACGTGATGATTGTATTTCTTCTTGCAGTCTCATGTGGGGCTATCTAAAGCACATGGCTGAATTCCTTGAGAATATAGCTACAGTACTGGATGGAGTATCTTCTGAAGGTCTTGAAGATCTAAAGTATGAAATGACAGCCTCCAATAGGAGAAGGACATCATTCTCATCTGCTGCTCGTCCCAAGAAATCTTCACGTATCTTATCAGTGAAAATATACCCTGGAATAACAGGTGGATTATCAGCTATTGTTAATCATTATTAGCTCCATCATTATTAGATGAAAGGGGACAGTTAATACCAGGATTACTGGAGTATTTGGCTGATGGAGTCATTCCTCTTCTCCATTCATACTACACTACATTCTTTGATCCTGATGGCCTCAGCAAAGAATCTGAAAAATCTAAAGAATTTGAAGTATCGGCTAACATTGCCAAGAGTTTAGCGGTAAACCTTTATGATAGTGATTTAGACATGTATACATGTTATAATGCATTTTATTGTTCATTTCAATTTGTTTAGCATCTTAGTAAAGAGTTAATAAAAGTCTTTTCAAGTCAAAGTTACATTCAAATGTACCAGGAGACACTGAATAAACTCCTTGAGTTTGATGAGATTAAAGAAAGAGCAAGCCTTGATGAGAAGAAGACTCTTGAAGTACAGGAGGCTCTGGATAGTGTTGCTCTAATAAAACCATCGCGTCATTCTTCTCGACGTGGATCAAGTAAGAAACTAAACCAAGGACTTCAAAAACAGTTCACTGTTGATTCACAAATTGAAGAAGTAAAATGAGACACAGTGTGTGAGTCAAGTACTTACTGTATTGGTTTATAGGAAACTTCTGGTGATGATATGATTGAACATTATGATGAACAACAAGAACTGAATGATTTATTTAATTCTTATTCAAGGAACTATCACTCATCATATATGGGACCAAACACTGCCAGACATCAGATAAACTCTCCAGTTGAAGAAATTGGTAAATGTTTATCATTAATTAATCAATTTATTTATTTATTTATTTATTTATTTTAGAGTATAGTGATGAAGGCGAGGAGCTTCCACTGGGTCCAAGCTTTCAAAGACTTGTTCATTTATTTTTCAGGTATATTAGCAAAATTTTAAAACACTGTTGAATGTTTAAATTTTTAAAGTCCACAAAATAAGGAAGTTAAAGAACATTCAGAAAGACTTCTCTATCAACTGGAGTAAGAGCCAATAGCTATAGGCTAGTAATTGATGTGTATTGTGTATTAGGGTATCAAGTAAAAGAACAGAGCAATTAGGAGAGGCAGAACAAGTTAAACAGAACATTCTTGATGTCAGATGTTTACAGGTGACTGATAGTTTATCACTGACATCAGTAACATGTACACCTTTATAAAGCTATTGAGGGCATTGATACATAACCAGATCAAGCAAATAGACCCAGAACTGAAGGACAGAGACCCCATCAAATTCAGAGAGTATGTTATCATATAATGTATCAGAAAATGGAGAATTCTCACCTTTTAATTTTTGGCAAAATTTGGCCAAAGTGTTGTAATGATTGTACTCATGCATTATAATAGGAAAAGTGATACTTTGATTGTACCAATTCAAAACAGAATCCAAGGATTTGATAATGCAGTGAACAGAGTAAGAATAATACCGAGAGAATGATTGATACCATTGTGTGTGTTAGGTGATTCCTTTACTAACACACATTGATGAAAGTATATCAAGAGAAGCACTGGCTCTTATGAAGGCTCTGCTGTTCTCTGGTAATGAAGAATGTCAAGATGGAATAGCAAGAAGTGTTCAAGAAACAAGAGAAGAAATAATATTTTTAGTTCTTAAGCAAAGACTAGAAATAGGGAGTCTTAATTACAGAGAAACGTAAGATTTGAAACTACATGACATATTATTATCATTATTGATAGAAATGCTCTTAAAGCTCAGCTTGATGAAAGGAAAGAACTGAAAAGAAAAAATGTGAGTTTCATTATCTCATTATCAGTGAAATACATTAATTGTATAGGAACCAGCAGCTACTACAAAGGAACAAACTGTAAGTGTTGAATTGGCCAGTCAGTGTAGATTTCTTATTTAGTTGAGGAGAGACACCAGCACTGCTTCAATGTCAAGGAAAGTTACATTTTCCAAAGCTGATGTAAGTATCTGTACATGACGTGTACTGTAATGTACATGCTCACTGCAGGAGACTGTGATTATGAACCCGACCAGTAAAGAGGTAGCCATTTCAATGGAGACACTGGATAGAGACGGTAATGTTTTAATTAAATATGTGTAAAGTTATTCACAAAACTTTTGTAGAAGAAGAATTGTCAACTTTAAAAAGACCTAAAGCAGTAAGACACCTCTTTCATGTTAATGCACCAATTGCTGCCTACTGGTATAGCTCTCTTTTGTTACTGATGATGAGGCAGGAGAGTCATCATGTAGTAAACCAGAGGGAGAGAAGGGAAAAGAAGTAGAAGTATTGTCACAACAGTTGATTGCCGATGGACACTGGACTAACCTTGTACTAGAGGTAATTGGACTTATGTGTGATGGACAGAACAGAACACTGCAGAACTACCTCAGGGAGCAACCTGATAATTTTAAAGTATGCACTCTCTCGTTATCCCTTTATGACGCTAGACTATTCTCCTTAGACTATTAATGTTGTAGCTGAGGTCACTGCATTCCTTCATGCTTACACTGCTGACTTCAGTCAAGGGAACCTAGCACAGATTAGTCAGATCCTCCAGGCTCTGGTTGAGATGTGTGTTGGAAATGTTGAGAACCAACAGGTTATTTATGATAAACTGGTACTGGACCCCCTCAATAGAATACTGCAACTTCCTTTGGATGAAATGCATAAAGACTGTGTAACTGATGACCCTCATAAGGTAATAGATTATAATTGGTATCAGTAAACCAACAGAGCATTATTTAGTGTACTACTTGTTCTTATATACTGGAGCTGATTCAAGTTAAAGGCAGTGCTATCGAGCTACTTGATGTCATGCTTGAGGAGATTAATCCACTGACTGCAACAGTTGCTAAAGTATAGGCTCTCACTGTATCTCCTATAGTACGTGTTTCCTCTTTAGGGAATTGGGTCATCTCTTGATGTAGACTCTGTATTTTCGACAATGAAACTATTTTATGATTTGCAGTCTCACAGTTTAGTGAGGAAGCAGCAGATGGATGATGATTGTCAACGTGGACTCAATAAAGCCTATCAGGTCCTGGTGACACTCATAGACTATGGAACAATACCAGTCAAGAGTAAAAGTAATAGTATCTCACTGTTGGGTGGGTTTAATGTTATAGTTCATTATAATGCAGGGGAATTGAAGAAACTGGCAGATAAGAGTTGTAGAGATGCAGTGAATGCAGCAGCTCAGCATTCACATTCAATTGAGATACACTACGAGGAGGAAGGAGCTAAGCCAATGCTAGCTAGAGTACACTTTCCTTATAAGGGAGAGCTAAGGGAGGAAGTGACTGAGTTGGTTCGTTGGAGTATCAACAGAGACTCAATGGAGGACAAGCAGAGAGCTCTCCTTGATTTGATGCCTGCTCTTAAAAGAGACGTACTTCATCAGGTAAATACTGATACAGTTTAATGTTGTGTTTAACTATTTAACAGACAAAGTTAAAAGATACCAAAATAATGAAGCCTTTCCTTGCCTTCCAGTAAGGGATTTATAAACTTATTTATTCTTTTATTATCATCATTCCAGCTCCATTCGTAGTAGACTATTGATGTTTGTTACAGTTCTACTGAACCTCTTCCTTCTCTTCATATACACTGTACCGCCTCATGCAGTGGGAAACAACACGTAATCCTCTCATTATGATATACTGTATACTCTAATTATCATATTATTAGTCCATTCAGACCTGACTTTCCCCGTTGGTTCCATCCTCTGTTCTTTGTTCTTGGAGCTATTCATCTGTTCCTGTCCCTTTGGATTGTTGTGGAATATTTTGTCATAAACTGGCCTCATTTCAGGCTCCCTTCCTTTTGCTACACGCTAAGGTACCCACTCTCAACACTATCGTCACATTATACTTACACTCAATATCCCAGGGCTAAACTGGAGTATGCTGTTTTGAAGGAGTCCAGTACTTATCAGCCTCCAAGACTGAACTGTATTGATGTTGGGTTGTTTAGTATATCAACTCTTTACATGTTCCTGTTCTTACTATCGTCAATACTGTCTCTGGCCTTCAGTGGATACTTTTATTGCTTTTGTCTCCTTTTCATTATTATTGATAATGATATACTCAAGAGAGTCCTGAGATCTGTCACTAAGAATGGTACTAACTGGACTACATGTACATGTACACGTATACTCATTTTATTGCAGGTATTTCCTTGATATGGGTTGCTATTCTTGGACTGATTGTTCTCTTCATTTATGCTGTGATTTCATTTGCTCTACTTCAAAATAATTTTGATCCTGAGAGCAGTCTTTACTGTTCTAATCTTGGAGAGTGTACGTACTCTGTCCTTAGATATGGTCTGGTTGATAACCTTGGATTTGTGAGTAATGCTCGCTGTTGCATATCACAATTACTGATACATATGCCATAGACTCTAAGTATTTATGTATTTATTTATTTATTTTTAGGTTGTCCCTTTTCAAAATGGAACTTCGTTTGATCCTCCTTTGTTTTCTGGTAGACTCATTTTTGGTCTGTCATATTTTGTGATTGTCAGTACGATTGGACTCAACATTGTATTTGGTATAATTGTTGATAGTTTCTCTGAACTAAGAGAAGAAAGAGTTAGTCTTGTTAATATACTTTTGTAATTTTGTACCTTTGACTTTAGAGCAATATTGAGGCTGAACAGAAAAGCAAGTGCTTTATCTGTGACCTTCCCAGCTATGACTTTGAGAGAAGAGCAAAGGTGAGTCTATTAATCGCAGGGTCTTACTATAGTCTGTGCTCTTTAGGGATTTCACAATCATGTAAAGCATGACCACAATATGTGGGACTATGTCTATTATTCGTTGTATCTTGATAACATTGACACTGGCGACCACAATGCTATTCAGAAATATGTTTATGAGCTGGTAAATTATGACAAAGTCTTTTGCTAGTTTTTGATTATATGAGTTTAGATTTCTGAAAATGATACTGGTTTCTTCCCTCAAGAAGAGGCTCGCTGCCTTTCAGGTGAAGTAGACACCACAGGAGAAAAGATTGGAGAACTGCAAGAGAAAGTTGAGAGTATCTTGCAGCATTTCAGAGACAAGGTAAAGGTAATGAGATGTTACACTAATTTAATGCACAAGTACAGGAATATGCCAAGAGTGTTAAAGCAAAGGAATTGGATCAGAAGAAATGGGAGCAAGAGGTCCAGCAGTCCTCAATTACTCCACAGATTAGTGTGGATCAGTCTGTGACCTTTCGTCATGGTCTGCCCTCTGGAAAGAGCATGGATTTTGGCTCTGGGCCTTTTTAAAAATTTTAGTTTTTAATATGAACTTTTTAAAATCTTTGTAGCATTATAATAGAATTATAAATCATTTTAGTGTGTGTGTGTTTATTTTTATTTTTTTGAAATCTTTACATAGGCAGACATTGATATCCTCTATTGATATTAGTGTAGCATTGAGTTGGACAATCTATGAATAAAGGATAGGGAATGTATTAATGTCATGCATGTATTGTATCTTACCACATAGTCTTGTAGCTCCAGTCTTTGTATGTGACCTACGTGTAAGCTTAAAAAGAGTAGCTGTTGATTCACAGGATGATTCAACATTATTCCTCCTCAGGTATCCAGTGAATGATTGTCCTCCTATTGTTAGTTCTATCCTCTCCCTTGCGGTTTGTCTCTTTTGTTGGTCCCTTCTACCCCGTCTCTTCTTTGGAGTACCACCCCTAGGGGTACCTCTTGCAGGGGTACCTCCCCTGGGGGTAGTTCTTGTTCCAGTAGTCCGTCTAGTCCCTGGTGTGCTTGGTGTTCCTTCAGTGACTCCTTGTTCGTTACACCCCCCACAATTCACTTGTGCTTGAATCGTCAAATAAGTTTTAGTTCTCTTAGTCTTAGTTTTTGTCTTTGTTTTTGTTTTTGTCTTTGTTCCTGGTGTCTTGGTACCTTTTGGTGTTCCCTTTAATGAGCAGCTCTTTTCTAAAATGGAGTACGTGCAGTTTCCTCCAATCTCTAGTTGACTGTTAGTTATAGCTTGAAGGAGTAGCTCTTCTGCTTGCTGTGTAGTTAATGAGTTACAGTTGAATACAACACCATTGGTATTGTATGACTTTAGATCAAGAGTGACTTCACTATTACTCCTTGGGCTGCATTGTTCTATTAGTACATAAAGGAATTACATCAGAATAAAGAATGGTTCTTACGTGCTGAAACTGTTTCTGTTTTACTAACACTTGGTAGTATTACTGCATTAGCAGATGCAGTACCAGCAGAACCGGCTGTCACAGTCACAGTGTAGGCCAGTGGAGGATGGAGTCCTTTAATAGTAGCCATTCTACCAGTGATTGATATATCCTTAAACTGTATAAAGTCTGATCCATCAGTACTCTCAACTATTACACTATAACTGCTACTGGAGGGGCCACCACTCCATGTGATGGTAGCATTCCTTGACGAACGGTCTGTGCTGGTAATTTCAATAGTTTCTGATGTACTTTGAAGAGTACAAGTAAAAGAGCTACTTCCAATACTGTTACCCACAGTACACGTTAGAGGATCACTAGCATCAATGGGTATTGGTACTACAATACCCAGTCTTGTGTCAGGAGACACTGTATTCTGTACACTAGACATTACTGAAGAAGGTCTAAGTATTTGATTGTTTATATTGCACTGGATATTGCTAGGAGGGCCTTGTTGAATACCAAGTGTCAGTAGAATCCCATGAGTTCTATTCTGTATGTCAGTACCAATATATGAACAACTGCTTTGATTTGGATTGATAACTGGAACTAAGTTATCTATCAGAATAGGAATGAATCATTGTAAAAGAATGCATTATTATTACTGTGTGTAGTAATTAGTATTTAAAGGACACACCTAACACACCCTTTCCACTGAAATTCAATTAGTTAGTCTAATTACTACGGCATATTTCTGCCTCTATATCTTTGTGTGGGCATGCTGAATCCTCAAAAGCATTTGTGTATAGCAGCAAAGGACAATTGCTACTGGAAATATTTATATATAACTGCACTTACTTGTGCTACGGTTCAGAATCCAAACTCTCTTTAGTAGGACTGATCCATCAGTGAACCCAGCTCTACAAGTATATGCACCAGCAGGAGAGACAGGGCCAGTAGCTGCAGCTAGTAGCTTTGCCGTATCAGAACTGGTCATCTCAAGTTTTACATTAGAGTGCATTGTGGTTCCTCCATTAGTTAGTACAATACCATTAGGTAGGATCCATGATATGTTACTTAACCCATTCCCAGCTACACAGGACACTCCTATTGTATTAGTAACCTCATTGGCAGTTAGGAGGTGATTGTCTTGTAAGACTCCAGATCCGTCTACATAAAGCAATGCATCTGTCAAGGGAAAGTGAATATAAATTCAAGCCTCAATTCAAAATGTGTCTATATTACCATTGGTTGGTGGTGACGGAGGAACAGCATTTGTAGAGCATAAAACTGCAAAGAGAAAGACAGCAATAAAAGTAGACATAATATCTCTTATCAGCACAGTAATACCTTAGCAAGGCCGAAAGCAGCACCAGCTTTAATTTATACAGGCTGGACAGGAAATGAGGAGTGGGCGTTGATTGCTCGTATCAAAATGGATGCTTGCTTATCAGTGAAGAAAAGAATCAGTTTACTGGAGAAGAAGAGAAAGCAAGGACCACTGCCATCTAATGACAAAGTAAATGAATAGAATTAGTTTTATACTTTCATTTGTTCTTTTATAGGATTTAAAGGATCTCTTATCTCAATGTCAAGGAGCTGATCTGAATGATGTTAGGACATCATGTAGTGTATTACAACATGCTGTATTGAGGAAATGGGTCAATGCAGAAACACTAATAAATGATCTACGACTAATTGTACCTGCAGCAAAGTCAGTTTTGTTAAAATAATTTTAAATATAATATTAAACTTGTTTCGTCAGTCATCCACAAGTTATTGTGCCCCTGTTGCTCGATGTATTAAGGTATCAGCACTCAATAATGAAGTGCATTCAAAGTAGTTTATTGGTAAGAAGACATCCACTGGTCTCAATCAGTTCAAACAACTCAATTCTGCTACATATTTCGATACATTCTGCCATTGAGCTACTCAGAATGAAGTAAGATTATATACTAGTCATGATTTTTATATCCTTATGGTAGTCCTGATGTCCATTCGTTCAGTGTATTGAAACCATTCTTTAAATATCTATTATTGGATCCTCATTATTCTCCATTGAGTGACATTCTTCACGAGCAGTTGCTTCAATTAGTTAGAGATGAATCTCCTTTATCTCGTGATATATTAGACACCATTGTCTCTATTGCTTCATTCTATTCCATTGACTCCATCGACAGTGCATTAAGTACCATCAGGAGAGTCTCTTCTCTTTCTAAAACTGTCATTGGTTGCTATTGTGAAGATATTCAACAAACTTGTGAGTTGTCATGCTGCAGCATATCATACCATTACTTTTGTTCAGGTACATTCATTGATGAACTAGTTCATCTTGTATTCTCACTATGTGTGGAGTCAACAAGACTGGGCCTGCCACTGCTGGAATTAACTCTTAATCTAACAAAATTAATTCAATTTAGGCACATCACTGCATCAGACTGTCTTTGTTTGAGTTGGCTAATCATTAAACAATTACTTGATTCGCTAGTTATCAAACATTTACTGGAAATTGGTTAGAAAGCACTAACTTGATTTTATTACACAATCTTTGTTTTGTTCTTTCAGTCCAGTGTGTCTTGGCAAGTGTGTCTCCATTTTTATGGTGTTTGTTTAAACTACCTCTCATTCTTCTTGTGTCCCAGACTACACCAAATAATTATAACAAGATTTCAAAGACTAACATACTAACAGCTAACTATTTGCTGTCAAAAATTGAAACAGAACCTCCTCAAAAAAGAGAATGTGATCCTAATGTAAGTCTGACTGCAATGATGTGTTAATATTTCAATTAGAGATGATGTATTGCTGGAGGTTGTACTTAAACTATGACATTAACTCAGTACTGATTAGTGTAACCTAGCTTATGTATGATAGCTGTTGTTATTTCATAGGATGCTGTGAATCATAATCTTATTATGAGGTCATCAATTAGTTCACAGTATCTTGGAATGTGCTTTGTGGCTGAGAAATCATTACAGTTTCTTGTGGGAAGGTATGGCTTCAGTTTACATACACACATTATGTTGATCCCTTCAGGTCATCAACAGACAGGCTTGCCTCTTCCTTTCAGATAAGGAATATGACTCAAGATGACGTACTTTCTCTTGGAATAGTAATTTGTGGGATTGAGTCATTGCCCACTCTAGTCCATTCAGAAATACCACTCAGTATATACAATATGGTGAGACTATACCTTGTATTGACTGTATTTTAAAAATAAACAATAATACTTAAAAACAGAGTGAGAGAGGAGTAAGACATGATAAGAAATAATTATTTTTGTGATGGTTTTGATCGAAAAAGAATTTTTTTACCGACTTTTAAGTTTCTCTAAAATTTTTCCAAAAATGAAAAGTTGAGAACTCTCCATTTTCATTAAATTTATTGATGCATATGCATAGCCTTATATTATGTAGAAAGTTCGAACTGATTCCGATCAAAAATAAAATTGTTACAAACTTTTAAAGTTTCTTTAAAATTGGACAAAAGTCCCTGTATTATAGTACAGGGACTTTGGTCAAATTTTGCCGAAAATAAAGAAGTGAGAATTCTCCATTTTTATTACATTTTCTGATGCATATACATGGTCTTATGTTGTGTGGAAAGCTTGAACTGATTTCAATCTAAATTAATTTTTTATAATTAATTTAAATTTATCTAAAATTGGGCCAAAGTTCCTGTACTGTAGTATACAGGGACTTTTATTGTAAAGTAATCCTAAGCTTATATTTTTGAAGGGATCACTAATGGTGACATATGTTGTATATACTCTTGGTAAAGTGTCTGATCATGAATCCTGCTTCGAGCTACTTCAATCTCTACCATTATTCTGTTCACACTCTATCAGTGCTGAAATGGTGACATCAACTTTATTAACTTTAACTAAGACTCCTGACATTCTTCCAACTGCTTTACGTCTCCTTACCAAGACTTGGGAGAAACAAGATAAGATCCTTCCTTATATATTGCCACTGCTCTTACCTCCAGTCTCTGGTAAAGCAGAATGGTCTATATCTTCTGCTGCTTGTCTTAGTGATATATGCAGACTGAGACCTGAGGTTCATGGTGAAGAGTGTATACCATACATATCTCAATTGCTTTCTTATTCCGACAATCCTCTAATGACTGCACTCCTCATATCAGCCCTCACTAGTTTGTGTAGTAATGGTATTGTTGAACCAGCTCTATTGTGGAAACTATTGGAGCCTCAACTCTCGTCAAGAGATAGGTAACCTTTTCTATCACTAGTTGTTACTTCTCATAACTATAGTCCGATCATAGATAAGGCATTGTGTGAATTCTTTGTATTAGCAGCAGACACTTGTAACAAGGACAGACCCAGTCAAGTACTGATTACATTTAGCTAGTTCTATAATATCATTTTGTTATGTTGTTTGTAGACATTTTGTGACGAGGCTCTTCAGCATTTATGGAATATGACACTTAAAGAGGTTAAAACGATTGTATTATCAATTCAATTTTTGTTGTGACTTTAGAGTCTCAATTAGTACATCAGTTTTATTAATCATAGGACACAGAAACTGTGAATAATTCTGTAAAAGCCATTGCTAGTTTTCCATTGGAGTCTCTCACTCGTCAAGTTCTACCAGGCCAACTATTGAACTTATTACCATATAAGGAAGAAGAGTTAGATCAAAGTGTTCTAAGTAATGCAGAGCTTCTGTTAATATTTCTGACTGTGACAAGAAGTGATGAGAAGTCTTTGTGCCTTAAACCCTTAATAAGTTACCTGGTAGAGAAAGAAATAGTTTTATTACCGCGTGGAACTGTTTATAATGCACTCCAAAAGTTGAAGTCTTCAAGAACAATCATGGATAAGACAAGAAGTGAACTTGAGAAATTTCTAAAAAGTTGCTGTACAGTTGAGCATGGCCCTGCAAGTAATATGATTATACTAAAGATTAAAGAATAATTATTGTGTTTATTTTAAATAGTTTATTATTTGAATACTGACGTTGTGGCGGAACACCCACAGTCATTTCCAAAGAAGAGAGATCAGCTATTGAATATAATAAGGAAAACACTGAGGACTGGCACCTTTAATGAGTTGTGTATTCTATCTGAAGGAACAGAATGGAACAAATTAATGACATTGACAATCGAAACACAAATTAAAGTATTTGAAACCATGTGCATTTTAAAAGTATAATTACTTTGATAATTATTATTAGGTTTCTGGTGTAAGACTGGCTGAAAATGGACAAAAAAGAAATGACACTGTCAACAAGTAATGATAATCAGTGCTTGAAACTCATTTAATGTCATACAGGGCTATTAGTGACATTGTAAATATGTTAAAGGACTCATACAGGTCAATACTCATCAGTGGTAATGTATTATTATTATATTGATAGGGATTGTGTGTTCAATGGAATGGGATCTGTAGTTGGTTTAGTCACTTCTGAGCTGGTTCTTGATGTGTATCCACAGTCCCTGTTACTTGTATTGCAATATCTGACATCTTATTTGAATAATAATGTATTGTATTCCCAACATAAGGGCTGCTCCATTGCTGATGCTTTGAAAGTCCATTCTGCTCCATTGTTTATTTATTACGTATAATGATAAATAGGTATTATTGACTACAGCCACAGTCCAAGATATTACAAGATCAATTCTAGTCCACATTCCTGTTCTAACTCATTTCTTGGGTCAGTATCCGTTGAAGACAGTTCAAGTTCTTAATGGAATACTTAAGAGTTTAGCATCTGAAGTTGTATCAATTATATTAAGGTACCATAGTTTCACGTTAGTTTATCAATCTATTCTTAATTAGAAATGACGACCCTGATATCACTTCTCTGGCCTGTTTAGCTACATCAGCTATAGTTCAGGATCTATCGTTTATTAAGGAGGTACTGCATGT